ATACAGAAATATTCTAATGTGAAGAGCGGGAAAACTGAAGAAGCTCACCTTTAATCATTTGTTCTCATAATTGAGACCAACTGTAAAGTGAATGTGGAAGAGCTTGGGGCATAAAGAAAATCAGCAATGAAATGAGGATATTTGGAAATGTCTATTGAGGAAGGTGGCTGGAGGTGAAAAAGAGAATTAAAAGGATCCTTGAACAGGGCAGGAGGGTTGAAGCTGAAGAGCACAAATGGACATGCTAACAGAACAAGAATAATATATATAAATGTGTGTTTTTATGCTATTCACACATGTAGATTCCCAATAGAGGGTTAATAAAGCACTTGTTACCTATAAGTCTGAGTTCAGTATATCACAATGAGGACCCAAAACCCAAAAAGAACTTCAGATAAAGTCAATACTCAGTTACCTATGCACTGTTTTAAATTTTTAGCTCAGAAAAAGAAAATGGCTAACTCCAAATTTCACCATCCTGTAACTGACACTTGATATAAAAAGTACTTAGGCTTGATAAGTGCTTGGGATCCTCCTTTCATTACTTTTACAATATTAGCCAAATAAAGGACTTGTGCATCCTTAGAGCACATGGACTCTTTACCAGATGGGAGGCATTAGAGGCCAAGGACCTAATGGCTAGAAGACATGGAAGGCGTGACACTTGGGTCCCAAGCATTTTCTCTCTCCCTCCTCTCTGACTCATCCCAAGAGGAGAGAGAAAAGGTGAGGATCAAAATAAGAGGGAAATGGATCTCTTAATCCAGATCTTGAATTTCTCTTTATTTGTATTGGTTATCTCATTCTAAGTGCCACAGTAGCATCTTTTTATCATTACCAAATCAGATTCTACTGGAAGTATGCCAATGCAAGAAATTTTTCAATGTTGTTGGTATGTGTATAGACATGAAAAAATTACAGAAAAAATGCTGAGAAGTGCTTGAATTAAATGTATAACCATGAACCTCAACTCAGCCCTTAATGCTGCCCAGCCACCAAACTCTGCTTCTCTAGTCCAGTCACCCTCCACTTTCCTAGATAGTTGCCATATTTCATCAGTGTTGACACATTTTTTTCCCCACATTCTTTACATCTCTGGATTCAGGATGCATTTTTTTAACTGATGGTGAATATCAGTTATAATTGACATTTTTCCTTAGTAGTAGACAAAAACTGCAATATATTTATTTTCATTTTATTTTTATATTCATTTCATGTAATTATATCATCAATAGAATAGAGCATTTTACAAATTTCCTTTCTCCTGAAACCTCTGTCTCCCCAATCTTATTCTTCCTATTATACAGCTACATCAGTAACAAGGAGACAATTAGCAAAACCCCTCAACCATATCTACCCACAACCAGCATCTGTACCCACACACTCCATTTTTCTAACTGTTACCACAGATCAGACTTTTAAAGATTATTCCCAGGACATCTGGAGGTTCCCGAGACCCTTTTGGGAGTTTGTGAGATCAAAACTATTCTCATAATACTACTAACCCATCATTTGTTTTTTTACTATTTTCTCACAAATGCACAGTGGAGTTTTCCAAAGGTGGTGTGATGCATGATGTCACAGTAGGCTCATTACAGAAGCAGATGAAAATAGAGTTGTCTTCTCTTAATGAAGTCAGATATTAAAGAGATATGCAAAACAATTTGTAAAGCAATGTCACTCTTTTCACTAAATTTTTTTGTTTGGAAAATATAGTTATTTTTCCTAAAATCATGTTAGTTGCATTAAAATGAAGTCAGTTTATTACTATTTTTAAAATATTAAAAAATATTTTAAATGTCAGATATAATTTCTAACATGGTACATATTAACAGATAGAAACCACATAAACAAAACCCTTTCTGGTATTTAAGAGTATAAAGGTCTTCTGAGACCAAAAATTTGAGAACTACTGCCCAAGATGAATGGTTGATGCTTATGTCTAAAGCTGGTTCCCCCACTTGTGTGCTAAACACCACCCTCTCTCACTTCCTCCACAAATCTCTCCGCACACAGTTATCAATAGTTATCCCCTCTCCACAGAATCATTCCCATTTACATGTAAACATGCTATCTTAAAAACAAAACTCTTCTCTTAACTCCACGTCCTCCTCTATCAGCTACTGCCTCATTTTTGTTGCCCTTTGCACCAAGCTTCCTCAAACAATTTATCTATCCTTCCATTTTTGAATTCCTTTCCTCCCATTTGCTCTAAATCCACTCCCATTAGGTTTTTGGTTTTCCTATGCTCCCATTCAACTGAAACTCTTCATTAAGTTCCCAATGTTCCCTACATTGCTAAATCCCCATTTGGCAAAATGAATTAGTCCTTGATATACAGGCAATTTTCTCTTTGCACAGTCCTGAGTTTCAGTTACCACTGTTTAAATAGCCCAGTCTCTCAACAACATGGTTCAAATTTCAGTTACCACAGCTTATTAACTGTGAGTAACTGCATAAAGTACAAATTCGTGGTCAGGTTTTCAGTCCACCGAATCACTACGTAAATAACAGATGCATACATATCATGAACAGTGACCATCATATCACTTCTTTCAAAGGCTGTTGGAGATTGGTCACTGGGTATCTGTTTTTCAGTTCACACACTGACACCAAAATGTGTAGCTAAGTGGCCCCGTGGTCTCTCAATGAAGAACCCATGTGGCATTTTACAAAAGAGAAAACTGGCCAACAAAGATGAAAGTGCAACAAAGAAATAAAAAGTGATAACACTAGAAGTAAAATTTGAATCAAATCTAATGGAGTTACAGAAGAAAGAGCTAACTGTGGGGATGCTAACCCTGCTGCCATTCAAGCGACTCTGGGTGCTGATAAATGTGGGTGCTTATTGACATGCAGTGAGGAAAGTGATTGTAATGAACAGGATGGACATATCCCAGATGCCAGCAAAAAAGAAAATGGACATTAAAGACACTTTCGGAGATATTTCACTGTCATTAAAGGACTCTAGTAGATATTTCACAACACTCAAAGCAAAAATTATAAAATTTTGGAAGTTGATCCAGTCTTAGCAAGGAGTATGACAATTTGGCAAGGCATAGAAAAGATGTTTGTTCAGTATAAGTTATATGATGAGAAAAAGGCAAGTACTGTTTGAACTACTACTCTTGATAAGTTTTTTTTTTTAAGATTTTATTTATTTATTTTTAGACAGAGGGGAAAGGAGGGAGAATGAAAGGAGAGAAATATCAATGTGTGGTTGCCTTTCACATGCCCCCTGCTGGGGATCTGGCCTGCAACCCAGGCATGTGCCCTGACTGGGAATTGAACTAAAGACCCTTTGGTTCACAAGCCGGCGTTCAATCCACTAAGCCACACCAGCCAGGGCAATAAGTTTTTTTACAAAGAAATGAAACACTTTAATTTTCCATGTTGTCCATGTTTTCAATTACAGTGTACTAAATAAAAATTAGTGTTACTACTTTTTCATTTCCCTATATATTTATAACCATCAGAACTTTTCATGTTTATACAATACTTTTTACAGTAAATTTTCCCACTGATTATTAAGACTGTTTTGTGCAGCCATTTTAATAGTTCCACACTACTGTGCAAAAGGAGACTGCACTCTCCTTACTTGGTTTCCAGGATACCACACCCACTTGGTTTTCTTCCTGCCTCACTATATGTCTTACTCAGTTTCCTCTTCTCAACTCTGAGTGTTGGAGGATCCCAGGGATCAGTCCTTCGAGTGCTTCTTTTCTTTATCTACACTGACTTCCTTAGAGATTGCACCCAATTCTGTGGCTTAAAATATCATCTATATGCCAACAACTACTGCATTTACGTCTTCAGCCCAGACCTCTTGCCTGAACTCCAGATTTATATATCCAACAGCCTGTTTGATATCTCTACGTGGATATCTAATAGCTGTCTTAAACCTTGTACAGCCAAAACTGAAATCCTCCCCTCCAACAGAAACCTCCTCTACCCCAGAGGAATATTGTGCTCATCTCAGATGATGGCAACTCCTTCCTTCCAGCTGTTCAGGCCAAAACCCTCGCAGTCATCCTTAACTACTCTCTCTACTATGTCCTCTAAGTAATATACCTTTAAAATATATACATCAGACCACTTCTCCCACCATCGTTAATACTACCCTGGTCCATGTACTATCATCTCTTGCCTGGATTATGGCAATATTCTCCTAGCTAATTTCTTTGCTAATTTATTCATGACACGATAGCTCTTTAAGACATGTCAAATCTTGCCACTTCTACTCAGAACACCACAGTGGCTTTCCACCTCACCCAGAGAAAAGCCAGCATCTTTCCAAAGACTTAGTAGTTCCTAGACAACCTGGTTCCTTGTTAACCTTCTAACTCCAGCTCCCACTTCTCTGCCTCTCACTCATTCCGTTCCCACCTCTCGCACTGGCCTACTTCTTGCCAGTGTTACCTGAGTAGTCTAGGCATGCTGCTACTTAGGGCCTTGGCACGCACCATTCCCTCTTTCTGGAAAGCTCTTCCTCCAGATACCCACATGGTTAATTCCTTTACCTTCAAGTCACCTTTCCAAGGTGTGATGTCCCCTGATCAATTGCAATCCACCGCCACTCTCCAGAAACCCTTATCACCCTTATTTTGCTCCATTTTTCCATAGCATTCATCAGCTAATATACTGTATAATTTACTTGTGCTGTTTATTGGCTATCTCCCTCTGCTTAGGTTAACTCCACATGGTAAGCAACTTCTTTTCTATGTATTTTGTTTACTAAAAAAGTCTAAGAGCTAGTGATTTTCTCTGACTCATACTTGACATTCAGTAATTATTTGCTAAATAAGAGAAGTTGAAAATGTTCTAAATTGTTAATTGTTATCTTGGACCCAGAAAACCTTTTGTGTATGACCAATAACTCTGCTTGGTGAGGAAAATCTGAAAATCTAAAATGTGATTACCCAATCATTTTTATCAAGAACTATTTTCTGAATATGTCATATGTGGCAAAGTCAAAAAGGACTCTAGACAATCAAACATACTTTTCTAATTCTGGTTCTTGCTTTCGAATACGGTCCTGAATTGACAAGAGTGCTTCTGGTGAATACTGGGCAGCATTGCTCTCCATATATTTCAAAGCGTAGTCGTCTATATCGAGGATGATGAACCGGTGGCCAAACACTGGGGAGAGGGTAGAAATACACTTAGCTTGGTTATGTTTTTATGACACCATCAGGTGTAAAATAATACTGATCCTGCAATGACAAATTCACAGACATGCATTTGTGACCTGGACTAATGAACTTTCGTAGCTCCCTAAACTTACACGCAGTCATGTGCTCAGTGTTAGGAAGCTCAGGGTCTGTATTTATAGCCCAAAAATGCAACCAATTTACAGTTTAATTGATAAGATAAGGAAGGAGAATAAAACACTGGACCACATATGCAAGATTAGTTTATTTTGGCTGGAATGGAGCCTAAGCGCCTCTTACAAGGGTTAACTGAATTAATTCACTTGGCCAGTTGGAAAGCCTAAACTGTGTTTCGACCTACCCTCAATCACAGCACCAATGAAGAAGTCACTAGGGCCATAGTAGATGGGGTTTTCCACTGAAGAGTGTGGTTTGATCACTTTTGTTCTGCCAAGGTACTTGCCCCCGATGATACCAGAGTTGCGAACAGGAGGCTCAAAGATGCTGATCATGTCAGTGGCTAGAAAATAAGAGAATACAAATCGACGGTCTTTGTCTTCTGGAATAGGGGATTCCTGGAAAAGTGAAAAAAGAAAAGGGATATTCTGAATGTACGTGAACTATCCAGATGCCCCCACATTAAATAACTATGGGTCAAGTTTTCTAATCTAAATCTATTGCATAAAGAATAATACAAATGAACAGCATGGCGGTCGGGGGGAACGCTGGTGGCCTGGAAAGGACACGTCGCAGCTAATGGAGGCTGCCCATCTCAACCCCGGTTGGTTGTTGCCTTGTGAGAAGGTGGGCCCAATGTTGCTAGATCTTCCGATTTTTCATGAGAAGACAGAAATCTAGATTACTGTATAAAGCCCTGATTTAAAAATGTTGACTTCCACTTTTTTAAAGCACTATGCAGGCCAGGCAAAGCGCATGTGTCGGACACATTCTGCCCACAGGCAGCCAGTTTGAAACCTCTTGGCCAACATTATGTTCAACTTGGTGGAGACTAAGATGATTATGCAAAGTTTAGTCCTTCAAACAAGTTCACTTGTATACGTAATTTTAAAAAGAAAATTTAAGAAGAGAGGAATCATAAAGTTGAAAGTGATTCTGAGAAACCACCTTGTAGATAAGACTTTTCCTATATCAAATTGCTGAGAATGATAACATAATCCTTAAGCAACAAATTTCAGATTGAACAAGCTTAAATACAGACATGCTTATGCTTGACTAAAATCTCATATCACAACTCCTGCACATATCTTCTCAGTCAGACCATGGAGTTATTTGTCTAATAATTTCTTGTTTATTGAAAAAAGACATTGGATATCCTTTTAATAAAATAATTACCTCATACCATTCCTTAATCTAATAGTCTCCAAACTGTTTTTGATTGAACACCATCACAAAATTAAAAAAAAAAATAAACAACACCAACCACAAGACAGGTAATAAAAATCAAACCACATCACTCCTTTTTTCTCAAAACTCTAGAGAATTCCCATCACACTTAGAATAGAATATAAAGTTCTGAGCAGTGCTACAGGCAGGGGCATGCCAAGGGACTTGGGGATGCATCCTTCAGAGCTTTTGTGATGAAGGAATATGCCCTCTATTTTACTGAACAGGTCAGGGAAAAACCTTTGAAGATTCCATGACCAGAATATCACTTCTTTTTTCTTGCTCATAGGAAGATACACATCCCTTCTTTATTAATAGTCCTGTTTGTGTTCTTTTAAATAATTTTTTACTGTGAGTTTTAACACAGAGAAACTACAGAAAAACAAAATGTACAGTTCAAAATTTTTCATAAAGTGAATATCCATGTAACCACCACCTGGGTCAAGAAATACTGACAGAATCTAGAGAGCACCTCCCCGATCAATATCTTACCCCTCCCCCACCAAGAAAGTCAGTATCTTGAGTTTTATGGTTTTCACTAGTTTTATTACAAAGGAGGCATCTCTAAACCGTTTTGTTTTTTTAAAATCTTCACATAAATGAAATTATATAATATGTACATATTCTTTTGTGTCTGAATTCTTACATTCAACGTTATGTTTATGTGACTTATTCTTGTTATTCGTAGCCATAGTTCATTAATTTTCATTGCTGAACAGAATTCAAATCATTGCATAAATAAGCCGTAATTTATTCCTCCGGTCTCCTATAGATAGGCATCTAGGTTTATTTTTGGCTATCATGGATTATGCTGTTATGAACATTCTTTATCTTTAGTGTACGTATGTGTACTATTTTGACACAACCTGGTATATCTGATTTTACCAAACTATTTTCCTGAGTGTGTCACTAACAGTATGAGATTTTCTCATTGTTCCATATTCTCACCAACATATTAATCATCCTGGTAGGTGAGAAAAGGCAATGCATTTGTACTTCCCTGATCACTAGAGCAATTATTTGTACTTCCCTGATCACTAGAACGTCTAAACACCTTTTGATATGTTTATTTCACCCTCTGGATATCTCTTTTGTAAAATGCCGATTTCAAGTTTCTTGCTTATTTTTAAAAATGATTTTAGTGCTTTTTAGACATTCTGGATATGAGTTCTTAGTTGAATTCTGTAGTAACATCTTCTCCCATTCTGTCCTTTCCTTTTATTTTTTTTACTCTCTCATTGGTGTATTTTGAGAAACAAACTCTTCACTCTAATGTAGTCAAATTTATCAGGTTTTGAAACAGTTACTGCTTTTTGTGTACTGCTAAATAAATCTTTCCCTACTACAAGGTTAAAATTATATTATTATTAAGATATTTTATTGCTTTGCCTTTTATATTTAAACCTTCAATTCATCCAGAATTGATTTCTATATTCTCTTCTCTTTTCCCTTATGGATATCTAATTGTTCTTATATTATTTATTGAAAGACATTCCTTTCCCAGCTCCTCAGCAGTGCCATACTTGTCAGGTATGTTAAGTGTGTGTGGGTCTCTTTCTGGACTATCTAATCTATACTATCGGCTTAGTTTTCTGTCTTTGCACAAATACTCTATTGTATTAATTACTTTATATGACTTTTTAATAATGTATTTTGATATGTTGTTAAGCAAATCAATCAATCTTGTTCTCCAAGAATGTCTTGGCTATGCTTGGAAGCGCTTTACATTTCCACATAAATAAGAGAATCAGTTTGTCAATCTGCACAAATAAAAAGCCTCTGGGATTTTGGCTGCAATTGCTTTGAAACCACAAATGCATTTGGGGCCATTTTTAAAATAATACTGACTTTTTTAACCAGTTAACATGGAATGTCCTTTCATTTATTTAGGTCTTTAATTTCCTCTCAGTAATGTGTTAGGTACTATGTACTTTATTTGATTCACTCCTTGGAGTTTAATATTTTTTGATGCTATGGTAAATGGCATTTTTCTAACTTAATTTTTGTGGGTTTGCTATTTTTATATTGACTCTACTAACATAAAATGTAGATTCTTTTTCATTTTCTGCATATCAATCATTCATTTAGATAATGACAGTTTTATTTCTTCCTTTTCAATTCTTTACCCTTTATTTTCCTTATAGTTTTACTGCTAGGACCTCCAGTACAATGCTGAATAGAAGGTGATAGTATAGTCTTGCCTTGTTCCTAATCTCAGAGAGTTCAATCTCAGCATTTCATCTCTGAGTCTGCTGTTTGCAGATTTTCTTTTATCCTCACGCCGAGGACATTTTCATTTGCTTTTGTTTATTTTTATTTTTTTAAGCGAGAGAGAGAAAGGAAGGGAGAGAGGAAGTAAGAGAGAGAAACATGGCCTTCGCATCAATTGGTTGGCTTCCCTCCTACACACTAAAACCTGGGATCCACGCCAGGCCTGGGACCCGAGATTGTAAGTGTCCAGACCAGGGTCGAACGTGGCCTCACAGGTACACGAATCCACAACCTAGATGTGGACCCTGATGGGGAATTGGACCCACAACCGTTTGGTTAGGGGATGACGCTTCAACCACTGAGCCACACTGGTCAGGGCTGCTTGCAGTAGATTTTTGATAGTTCTCCTTTATAGGACTAAGAAAATTCCCTTTTATCCCCTATTACTAAGAATTTTGGTTTAAGTCAATATTAGATGAATTTTATCAAATGATTCTCTGAGTCTAATTTTTTTTCCTGTATTCTATTACTGTGATAATTTATCAAAATTGAATAACTTTGTTTTGTTTCTAGTTTTCTCCTGAAATTTCTAATCTTATTCTTTATCTCTTTAAACATAGTAACTATAGTTTTTTGTTTTTTTTAAGTTTGATAGCACCAGTATGCCTCTATGGATATACTTCTATTGTCTGTTGTTTCTGCTCATTTTACTTCTATCATCTTGATTTTGTCTAGATATTGTATTATTAATATTGTTTTCTTTGAATGAGTGCTATACATTGTATTAAATTGTTTATAGAAATAATTGGAAGCCTAGGATGATGCTATCCTTAGAGAATTTGGATTTGCTTCTGCTAGGCATCTGGGGGCATTAGTAATCTAGGAGCGCCTTAATCTGATTTTCTGGAGTGGAGATAATTCAAAGCCAGAAAATAGTCCCTTCATTAGCACATAAGGTTTACCAAGTGCTTCTGTCTTTAATAGGCCCTAGAGTCCCAAGTGCGCTATCACAGGTGCCAGGCTCCACTCACGGTTTTCAATATTCTCCTGGTTCTTGCTCAGTGATTCTTCACATCTTGTTAGTTGTTCAGCACCCTCAAGCAGTAGAAACACACACACACACACACACACACACACAAGCAAGCACGCACACACACCCACCAGTTTTTATAGCTGTCTGAGTAAGTGGACTGATCCAAATTATCTACTCTTCAACCTTTTGTGATATATCAGATTTGCCTAGGTTATTTGTGAGCACAAAAGACTGTAGTCAATATAAATGTGTTCTTCTCACTTAGCAATATCTAATATTACTCATCGCAATTTTTAAAATCAATCATGTACTGATAATAATTTTCCCAGGATTTTCAGGTAGGGAAAGCAAGCCTACAGCTATGTAGTTTACAAACTCATGTGCGTACTTTTCCCTTTTCATAGCCTGAGCAGTATACTGATTCTTGATCAAAAGAAAGCTGCACTAAAGATTCTCACAGCTGAAGGAGTAACACTTTTTTCTAAGTTAACTTCCCTCCTGATGGTGACTCCTCAAGTCTCCTACTTGAGGGCTTTAGTAACAATTTCTCTGTAGTAAAAATACCTATGGTGCTCTTTTCTCTATTGTCTCTCTCACACATAAGATGGCCGTATTAGATTTGTTTATACTGAATGTACTGTCGTTTTCTAAATTATTTACATTGTAAAATAAAAATATATTCTTTAAATAAAAAAAGAATACCATTGAAAGTTAGAAAGTTGAGTTCTAGCCCTACCTCTGTCTGAGCTGCACTGAGATCTCTTAGCCTCTCTGATTCTTGTTTTGAAAGATTAAATAGGTATAATATTATATTTCCTAATTCATGGAGAGTGCATCTATAACTAAATCCATGTACACATCCAACCAACAGTTACTGAGAACCTATGAAGTGTAGGAAAACATGCTCCCTGCCATCAAGGAGCTTAAAGTTACTATACCAAATTTCCATGAGCCTACTGAATTTTAATGGTAAACTCAAAGAACTTAATCAGAATATAAAACTTTCATTAACCAGAATTCTTATGGTATAGAGTGTTCTAGTTGGTATAGAACTCCCTTTTTATTTAAAGCTTTGTTCAACATTTTTCTAAAATGTATTGTGCTTTGTTCAACATTTTCTAAAATATATTACTCAACTGTTTTCATTTAATTTTTATTTTTTCACATACATGTACATACAGGCACACCTTGTTCTACTGTGCTTTGCTTCATTGCACTTCACAGGTGCTCCGATTTTTACAGCTTGAAAGCAAGACCCTCCACCAGCAAAATGAGTACAATGGACGTTATTGCGATACTGGCTTCATTGTGGTGGTCTGGCGCCGAACCCGCAGTTTCCCCAAAGCCTGCCTGCAGTTTGAAAAATCATCTGGCCCACCCTTCCCATTCCCAATTCCTAGTCCTACAAGTAACTTATTTCAATCTCTGCTATTTATGTCCAGAGTTTTAAATAAAATGCTTCTATTTATTTTTCTACACTGAAAAAAAAAAATTAAAGACATTATCCTTTGAATTCCCATCCATAATTTGCCTCTGGTAATTCAGACTGTGAGTGAAGTATTCAAATTTGAATTTATGTTCCCAGATCTATGCTCTCAGCCACTAGCCATATGACTTCTCAAAGGCAACATCAATTCAACTGATGTCAGTAAATAATTCCATTTATTATATTTAATAAATATAAAATACATCAAGCTAGATATGACAGGTAATGCTAAAAATTAGTAAGACATAAGTCCCTATCCTCAAGGAAATCACAGTACACTGGAAAGGCGCACAGATACATAGATAAGTTAAATACAAATCAGGCTTTCAAGACTACTTAATAAACAAGGCAAAAAAAAGTCTATCAGTATTTGAGGACTAGAAGGGAGGATTAAAGATCTAAGAAAGACTTTTGAAGGAGATTGGACTTGAGCTAGGTCTTGGTTCAGGGGTTCCATACTTAATTAATACCATCCAACCTGCCTGAAGGCATGGCACTGAGACAGCACAGAATCTTAGTATATAAAAATTATCCTCACCAGTGAAGCCAAATAACGAAGCACCTTGTTATCATTCATCAGCATTTTAATAACATCTTTTTTGGGAGGTTTTGGAATGAGAGCAAAGCAGTTCTGAGCGGAGTCTTCAATTAGTCCAAAGCCATTGTAGGGAGGTAATTCCTGAAGAAATACAGGAAACAAGAAGTAAAGAAGATGCTATTTGTATTAAAAGTTACAAAGTAACTATGTTTCTTTGAAAAAATCTAGAAAACATTTATTTAAAAGAAATTTCAGTATTTAGAAGAAATGTAGTCATAAAAAGTAACACGCCGCATATTCCACTCTGCTTTGTTTATACATTTTATACCTTGATCATCCTCACAGATGTGACTAATGATGCTACCAAGTGACTCTCAGGGCTACAGTGGAACTTGCCGAGGTCCACTGACCCCTTACTGCCCAGGCGGGGCCTGGCCCCTTTCCTAGGCCCAATCCTGGCCCTTGTGATCATCCGAGTGTGACTTGGTTCATTTTTCCTATTTACCTCCATATTTCTAATATTTTTATTTCTTGACTTTTGCCTCACAGAAGGATGACAGCCATACTTACTGAGAACTCAGATTCCTTGTTCATACAGAATTCTCCTTTCCTAGTGAAGGAACAAACTCAACAAATTTCAGATGCAAAGGGTATTTGGTGAGTAGCGCAGAAGTATAGGATGAGCTTATATTTCTCAGTCAGTTTCCATGAAAGTATCACTCTAGGGTGCCAGGATTTGTTTGTCAAAAAAAATTGAGTAGTTTAGAGGCCGGGTTCCTCTCTGTCGTCAACGCTAGCCAGAACGCAGCAGAGCTCTTTTCCTCTGAGTCCTTGTTGCTGTGTTTTCTTAGCAAACGCAGCTTGTACCTTGCTTTTCACTTGTGGATATCTTCTCCAAATCCTTCTATAAGTTATACTTAGGAATTTTAACAGACTAGTCTATACGTTTCCTGGTTCATCTGAAACTGGACGCTCCTTCAACCAGTGCCTCTGCTACGTTCATACAAGGTGCGGTGACTGGAACACTGGCCCCGCACCCACTTTCCAGGGCTGCAGCAATGGCACCACCATGGCTGGAATATGCCTAGTGGATCCAGTGGGTGGGCAATGACCTAATTCGCTACAAGTGCAACACCACTGCTCAATGAATATACAAGTTGCCATGGACAGAGGGACCTTGGGTGAGACACTGAATACTAATAAGCTTTGCATTACTCTGGAGGCTAGGCAGAAACGCATCTGCGTCAACACACAAGGACAGCAGCCTGGTTGGGGGATGGGGGTGGAGGTTAAGAGATTTCGAAATACAGAGGTAGCTGTAAGCCTCTGAGTGCCTTCCTCTCACATTCCTTTTGTGTCTCAACAGGCTTCTACCTGCTTTTCCTGAATTGTACCTCATTTGCCCTGCTTGGAATGAAGACCTTCCCTACATTTCAGCCCGTATGCCTGGAGTCCTGGCACCAGGCTTCTCATACCATACTCCAAGCTACTGCCTGGGTCCTGTTTCTATCTAGATGAACCACCCCTCTGACTATGAACATTATCACTCCTAGATACTCCTGTTCGTATGACCTACCCACCAGAGTTTCTGGCCAGGCTTTCTTAACAAAGCAAGTACATGCAAAGTGTGATAGTCCCACAATCCTTCACATACTGCTTTTAGGGGCCAGCTACATAGCAGGTTAGCTCTCCCAGTTCTGTTTTCTTCCTCTTCCCCACCAGCATGTCTCCTTATGGAGCCAGCCTGAGCCAGAACACCTCTGGCCCTGAGGGCCATGTTTACAAATTCCCAATCTAGAGATCAGCCTGACCTGTAAGTGTCAATGATTCTCAAACTGAGTATGTCCATCTCACACCCACTTCTGTCCCTGACGATTAGCTTGGCTCTAGCTCAGGTGTGTCCAACCTGCAGCCTGTGGGCCGCATGGGGCCTAGGACGGCTATGAATGCGGCCCACCACAAAAGCATAAATTTACTTAAAACATTATGAGATTTTTTTTTTTTTTTGTGACTATGTGTTGCAATGTATTTAATGTGGGCCCAAGACAACTCTTCTTCCAGTGTGGCCCAGAGACGCCAAAAGGTTGGACACCCCTGTGAGTTGACCTTAACCCCCCAACTGGGTTTAGCATCCCATTTCTGCTTTACAATTATGTCATTCAGGATTCAAATGACTGAAGTGTAAAGACTAAGGAGAGCTAAGCTGTCCTTGCTATCTTGTAAGTGGAGCTCTCCTGCTCATTTCCAACACAGACTTTTACGGAGGCAGAGCAAATTTATTTGTAATATAATTATTTGTCATAGAGAATTTGGTGGGAAAAAACCCTGACCAAACACTACAATTAATGTACGATGTGCATGGAGGCAGAATTAGTTTTAATACCCAGAGTGGCTGAGATAGGGCCAAACAAACAAACAGAACAAAATCCACAGTGTCCTCTTCTCTCTGGTCTCTATCCAAGCCTTCCCCTCCTTTTTCTTTCTTTCTTTGGAAGACAGGTAAAAAGAACAAAAGACTATGGTAATGAGAATGGACAGGGAGAAGTATTCTAGGACTGAAAAGCTTTTATCAGCTCAAAAGATAGATCATAGCCATTCACTAAAAAAGTTGCACCACTCTGTAGCAATCCCTCCCCATCTCACCTCCTGGTTAGGTAAAACTCCTTGATGTTTAAAAGAATCACCCTTGTACTTCGCAATATGACCTTGTGCAAATCTCTTGGACCGCTATCTTACACTATACTTATCTATGATCTAAAAAAGGTGGAACAGTTTCCTTGATGAAAATCTAGATCTGTTCCCATAGTATTTTTTCCTTGTATACTCCATCAAATGTTGCCAAAAAATTTGAGGGTGAGGCTAGGTTTTTATTATAATTCTTAATGAGAACATTCATTGGTAAGGAATTCTATCAGGAAAAAAAAACAACTGATAGCAAGAGGTACACTCATGGATCCTTTAATGGCAGGAACACATTCTGAAAAATGCATCATCAGGCGATTTCAGCACTGTGTGAACATCATAGAGTACACTTGCAGAAACCTTGATGGTATAGCCAACACAGCTACGCTATACGGTACAGTCTATTGCTCCTAGCTATAGACCTGTACAACATGTTACTGTACTGAATACTGTAGGCAATTATAACACAATGGTACCTGTGTATTTAAACATTTCTAAATATAGACAAAGTACAGTAAAAATATGGTATAAAGATAAAAAATGGTACACCTGTATAGGGCACTTACCAAGGATGGGCTTGCAGGACTGGGAGATGCTCTGGGTGAGTCAGTGAGTGGGTGCTGAGTGCCTAGGACACTACTGTACACTCCTGAAGACTTTATAAGCACTGTACCCTTAGGCTACACCATATTTATAAGAAAGTATTTTTCTTCAATGATAATCTTAAACTACTGTAACTTTTGTACTTTATAAACTTTTGAATTTTTAAGAAATTTTCAAAGTTTCATAAAATTACTTAGCTTAAAACACAAACACATTATACAGCTATACAAAAATATTTTTCTTTATATCCTATTTTATTAATATAAGCTTTTTTTATTTTTACATTTCTTCAAAACTTTTTCATTTTTTTAATTAAAAACTAAGACGCATCACACACATTAGCCTGGGCCTATGCAGGATCAGGAACATCAGGATCACTGCCTTCCCCCTCCACGTCTTGTTCCACTGGCAGGTCTTCAAGAACAATCACAGGCATGGAGCGGCCATCTGTGAGAGCAATGCCTTTTTCTAGAATCCCTTTTGAAGGACCTCCCTGAGGCTCTTCTTGAGGAGGTGTCACTCTTTTCAGAAACATGTCCATGCTGGTTTGCTTGGTTTGTTTCTTTTTTTATATCATAAATTTGCTTATAAGCAGATAATGCACCATGAACATTCCTCTTCATTAATGAAAACCTTTTGGTGTTGTGCTGCATGTTTTCCAACTTTTAAACAAGCTTATTGAGATCTGCAAAAGCTTCTTCTAAACTCTTCACTGTGATTTTTCTTGGGGGTTCTTTTTCTTCTCCTGCAGTTTCCTTTCCTTTTGCCTCTTCTTCACCTATGCATTCCAGTTCCAGTTCCAACAAGTCTTCATTAGTTAATTCTGCGGGAACTAAGTCGAGGAGCTCCTCAATGTCAGCCTCATCCACACCACAGTCTTGTTGATTTTTGTAGCCTCTTCATTCTTGACAAATCCTTTGAAGTCATAGATGACTCTCTTGAGTGTCTTCTACCAGATGCTATTCATATACCCCTTGGTGACATCACCCTAAGCTCCAGTAAGGTTCTTGATGCGCTCACAGATGCTGTAATCCCTCCAAACTGTATCAGTGTCTTCTCAGTGTCTCCCTCAGTTGCAGCAATAGCCTGGTCAAAGGTCCTCCTCAGGTAGTAGGACTTAAAAACTGCTCTAACTCCTTGATCCACTGGTTGCATCAAAAGAGGGTTTTAGAGGGAGAAACACCACTTGGATATTGGGATGAAGGTTACCAATGAAAGGAGGATGTCCAGGAACATTATCAATAAGCAACATGTTATTCACCAAACAGTACTTCTCCATTTTGCTGGCATAGGAACTATAATTCAAGAGAGCATCCTGGAAGTGGAGCTGGGTCACCCATGACCTCCTGCTGCTGCTGCAGGACACTGACAGTGTGTGCTTACTGATAGGCTGAAAGGCCCCGGGGTTCTCACTGCGCCAGATCACGAAGGGTTTCAATTCATAGCTGCAACGTTGCCCCCAAGCAAGACTGTTATCTTGTCCTTGAAAACCTCAAAACATGGCATTGACTTGGCTTCCTAATAGATGAAGGTCTTTTCAGGCATCTGCTTTCCAGAACAGGGAGGTTTCGTCCATTCTGAATATTTGCTCTGACAGGTGATTTTTTTCCACAATCAGCTTATCTAGACTTTCCAAAAATTCTTCAGCTGCATTTGCATCAGCACCCACAGACTCAACACTCACTTTCACGTTATATGATAAATAACAATACTTAAATTGAATCGTTTAAACAAACCATTGAAAGCTAGCAGTAAATTCACCTCATAGTTGGGACCAGTCTTTTCTTTCAACATCACAAACAAACTTTTTTCTTTGGCTGTGATCCTCATGGTGCTGAGAGGGATACACTTCTGTGTCTAGTCTTAAATCTGGGTCATTAGTAGTTTCTCCATGTCTATTATAGGTTCCTCTCAAATTTTTTTAGTTTCATTGCTTTGTTCTTATTCTCCAAGACTGTAGCTATGGTGGAACAGGACATGCCTGACTGGAGAGCTCTAACCACCACTAATTTTCTACCTTCGTAGTCCTTAGTCATTCTTAATTTCATTTCCAGATCACTTGACATGGCCTCTTACTGGCAACATTAGCTGTGCATTTGTATGCTTAGAGGCCACAATGAACAAAACAACACAACATTAAATTAATCACAAGAGAAAATGATGCAGTCAAGAGATGCAGTGAACACCAAATGTAACAGGCTGCTGCTGACATAATACTGTTTTATAACGAACTTTTTTAAATAGGTAGAATGACTATACTCTAAAATAACAATAAAAAGTATAGTAAATACATAAACCAGCAACATAGTAATTTATTATCAGGTATTATGTACTGTCCATAATTGTATGTGTGATACTTTTATATGACTGGCAGCACAGTAGGTTTGTGTATACCAGCATCACCACAAACACGATTATGACATCACTATTTTTTCACCTCCACTATAATTTTACAGGACCGCTGTTGTACATATTGTCCATCGCTGACCCAAACATCATCATGCTGCACATGACTGTATTATTACCACCCACACTTGCTTCCATAAGTTTTATTGCCCCTGGGAACGCAGAGCATACCAAACTCCAAATTCTTTTTATGAAACCTTGGTTCTAATGATATCTCTTGTCTTTTGGGGAAGCAAATACAGTAGTACCTGGGTACTCATTGTTACCTTGTTTCTAGAACTCGTGATGAGTGCCGAAACTGATGAGTACTGAGTGATGAAGCATTTTCTTTTGCAGGGCAGTGTTGTGACTCATACGAGTTCTAGAACATGTGATGAGTCCTGAGCAAGCGCCAAGTGCTGAAACACTTTTTCTCATTGAAATGTGATGAGTACCTGATTTGACAAGGTCTGAAGCCAAGGAGTACCAAGGTATGATTGTACATACTTCACAGGCAATCTTCTTCAGACTAGTTCAAAAGACATACTGTATACATACCTCCTGTTAGCTAGGCACTGTGTTAGGTGCTAGAAGCACAAAGGTACATAGAATATAGTCCCTGCTCTCAAGGAATTTACAGTCTACTAGAGAAGATTCATGAACAGATATTTTAATGTAATAGATAAGTGCTAGTGGAGAGAGGCACAGTGTACCCCAGGAACCCAGAGGAGACGGCCAGTCTGCTGGGAGCTTCAGAGACACCCTCTTGGAAGACAGAAAGCCTACACTGAGTCTCGAAGAATAAAAAAAGAGCCATATGAAGAACGATGGAAAATAGTTTAAGCAAGTAGAAGACAGTCAGCAAAAGTCCAGGGGAGTGAAACAGGATGCAGCACCTGCAGAACCACACAGATTCAGTACAATGGAGGCTAAGTGAACATGGCACAGGCAGCAGATGAGAAGAGGCAGGGGTGTGGGCTGGAGCAATTCAATAATTCCATCCTTCTATTCATGTCTCTTTTTTTGAAAAGAGCCCAGTGACATTGTTTTACTGTGGCAACATGGCAACAGTACATCGTGGCCAACACGGAGATGAGCCAGAGGTATTAACACCCTACTTCATATATGGGCAACAGACAAAGAGGTTATATGAGTTGCTCCCCACTCACAGAGGAAGAAAAACATCAGTGTTTTCTTTCCATGATACTGTGATACTTTAGTACTTCAGATACTTCTTGAATTTGTTGTATAAGGTGTAATTTTTAAAGCATAAAGTTCCCATTTGAAACTAAAATACATGGCTGAGCCACTCTGCAGGCTCAAGTTTACCAGTTTACTATTTCAGTGCATTAACAGCACCAGGAACTTACTCTCAGATCGGAGTGGACTTTTGTGGTGCTCAGAACTGAATTTTTCGGTTCAGTGTGATTCTAAGGAAAGCTATGTTGCAATGAAAGAAAGTCACCTTCTAACATCTTCAATTAATTGGTTTTTGCTTTGCTGTCAACCTGTTTTTAAGTCAAAGGGTTTGATAAACAGGCACAAAACAATGAAATGCCCTAGGGGTCTGGAATAAAAGACGTCTTTTTAAAAAAATTAAGATGAAAAATACTATAAAAGTAATATGGTAAAAAAGTAAAAAAGGGTTAGCATAAAAAAGAGAAATTAAAACCACATAGAGTATAAAACAAAGGTCCCTTGTCCTCTCCTAGTTCCCTCCCACATTTTAAATTAACCACTGTTAATGGTACAAGTGGATATTCATCCTGTTCTTTTCCTCAGTATATATAAGCAGATATTGTGAACAGTAATTTATAAAAATAGCACCATATCATGTATACTCATTCGCTTTAAAATGTTATGGACATTTTTTTCATGTTAATATGCATAGTTGTACTTTCTCTCTCTCTCTCTCTTTCTTTTTATCAGTCTTACAGTCTTCTAATTATATGGATGAATATACTAATTTATTCTGCCAATCTCCTCATACTTTATCAAAAATGCTACAATACAATCATTACACAACTCTTTTTATAGTCCTCAAACCAGATTTTCTGGGTCAAGAAATAGGTAATACTTTATTTTGAAAAAATTAAAATGATGACAAACTGCCCTTCAGAAAGGCTTTTCTTATTGCCTTTCCTATTAACAGCATATGAACATGACCATTTCTTCACAGCAGGGCAAACATCAGCTATCATGAGTCTTTTAAAATCAAATAGATCCCAAACCTTATTATTTCATTCTATTTTTTTGTCAGATAAGTTGAGGGTCTTTTTTTATGTGTTCATTAGACATTTGTATTTCTTCTTTTGTAAACTTCTCTATTTCATTTGCTTTGTCCATTTTTTAAAACTGGGTGTTCAAACAAGTCTCCTCCCCTGCTTTTTCTTAAACTTTTACTTCAAAAGATTAATTCTCTCATTACACCCATAATTAGTGATCCATTACCTGTTTTATAGGAGGTGGTTCCTTCTTGCTCACATCAATCCGTGGTAAATCAGAGATTCCAAACTTTTCTTTGTAGTACTGTCGAGTAAATGGATCACAATCGTAAATGAAGAAAGTTCTCCCGAGGATGGTGAGTGGTTTCCCAACGATGAAGTCTTTGGCAGTATACCATTCCAACACCTCTTGATCAGAGATTTCTAGCACACACTGAGGGAAGTTCTCTAACACAAAATAGCAGAGAAGGAGGAAAGAAGAAGGAATGAGGATGGGACACACAGCAGAAGGTTATTCTTGAGAACCTGAGGGAGTGTGGTCCAGGGTCAGGGCCTCCTCTACATTCCCAGAACATAATGCTGTGTATTCCCATCTGTTGACAGGACAGATAAACAACATTCCAGATGGTTTTTGTAAAGTCTATCTCCCAAATTCAGCTCAGAATAACACTATGGGTCACTAATCTTAGCAGAATTAATGTTCAGGGGAAATCCCTGGAGGAAAGAATAAATGTCCTTCCATAGAGTATTACATATAGGATGAATCCAAGTCATTTAGTTCAACCTCCCACCCATTTATTGCTTCATCCAACAAACTATTAGTGACCACATATATCATGTACTAGGTATGCTACTAAATACTGAGATCACAGCAATCAACAGTATCAATAACATTCCTGCTTTGATGAAGACAACGTTCTGTTTGGGGTGACAGATATTAACAATTACACAAATGATGGTTTCATTTGTGGTTTCAAATGATGGTTTAAATTGTGATCACTGCTATTAGGACAGTCTCACCTAGTCCTATGGCTGGAAGCAGGGACAGTCGGTAAGATGATCATAGTAATTTGCATATCTGGGGATCAACACAATTTTCAGATGTAACTTGAAACTTGCATTTTTGGAATAAATCCAATTTTGTCACACTGTTTTATGAGAACTAAGGATTGACTTGTTTAGGACTCACTCCTATAGCCCAGCCTCCATGGAAACCATAGGATAGTCAATCAAATCTGGAGTGTGCCACATTGTATAGCTTTAACCACAAAGCTTGGCCCCAGAACTCTGACGTCAGGGGACACGAGAAGTAGCTGGTATTCTCCTGTTAATTGCTAAGATAGGAAAATAGGAAAAGAGGCTAAGGTTTTGTTATATAGACAGAAAGGTGTGCACTCCAGCACTTCATCATGCTAAAAGAACGGCTAATATTTTCTCAGTCATGTATCTCAAAAACCCCTCCTCCCAGTGTCTAGTGCCTAACCCTGCTACATTCCTTTGAGTTACCACAGGAAGTCATCGGCAATGGGGGACACAGCTCGTGGCTCCATGAGTTTCCCTCAGTAAACAATGTTTCAGAAGATCCGGTATGTATGTGCATTGTCCACCCATTTGTCTTTGTTTGCTCAACATCCAGCATTATATGAAATTATCTTTTTCATATAATGCTGGATTTCACTTACTTGATATTATATTTAGGTTTTTTGCGTATATGTTCATGAGTGAAACACTGTAGTTCTTTTTCTCACAGTGTCTTTAATTTTACTGGTCTTTTTAAATGAGTGAATTAAGTTCTTTTTTCTTCTCTATGAAAGAGCTTATATTGAGCTTGAAATTCTATATTCTTAAAATATTTGGCAAAAATGAAAAATTATCTGGATCTGGTGTTTTATTTGTAGGAAAACTTTTAACTAATTCTATTTGTTTAATGTTAGACATTTGATTTTTTTCTTCTTGAACAAGTCAATTTTTTCTAAAAATCCGCTCATTTAACCTAAGTTTTCAAATGTATTGGGATAAGGTTGTTAGCATTATTCCCTTGTTTTCTGTTTACTTCCTATTGCCTCCTTTTTATTTTTAATACTGTATATATGTGCCTTCTTTCTTTCCTCCTTTGATAAATTTTGTCAATGGTTTGTCATTTTATCCTTTCAAAGAAACTTTTGACTTGACAAATCTGTTACATTTTATTATTTCCTCCATTTTAATTTCTTTAGATTCATTCTGTCATTCTTATTCTAACTTCTTAAGAATATCTACCTTATTTTTTCAGTCTTTCTTCTTTCTTAAATAAACATTTAAGGCTATGAATCTTCCTCCAAGTACTACTTTTGATGTATCTAAAAGACCAGAGGGAATTTTTGCTGTCATTCAGTTCTAAGTATTTTCTGAGTATATTTTTTACTCATGGACTATTTAGAAATGTGATTTTCAATTTTCAAATTATGTTTGTTTGTTATATTTCCAAAACTGAATGCTAATTTAATTGTTTTGAGATCAGAAAATATTGTATAAGATGTTCAGTCTTTAAAATTTGTTAAGAATTTGTTTAAAATTTGTTTTATTTGTACTTGAAAAAAATGGAAATTCTCCAGGTGTTGATGCATTTACATATTCATTGAATGAATATTGATAATTATATTGTTCACCTATATGCTTACTGATTTGTCTTTTTAATCTAGCTGTTATTAAAAGGCGTTAATGACTCCCACTATTTTGATGGGTTTGTTCATTCTTTGCATAATAGTGCTATACATTTTCGCTTTATATATTTTGAAGCCATGTTATTAGCTGCATACAAGTTTAGACTATTATATTTTCCTAAATACAATTCTTGCAATGTGTAATGATCCTCTTTATCTCTAGCAATGGTTTTTGTCTTAATATCTATTTGTATAATAGTAACATAATCTTATCAGTTTCTTTTGCTATTTGCGTCTTTTTTGACCTTTGTATATCCCTATATCTTAAGTATGTTCTTAAAATAACTGTTTCAAAATGCGTTTGTTTTTTCTTTTCCAAATAAACTCATAGATACAGATAACAATATAGTAGTTTCCAGAAGGGAAGTGAGGTAGGGGAGGATGAAAAGGGTTGAGGAGGTCAAATATATGGTAATGGAAGGAGACTACATTTTGGGTGGTGAGCACTCAATATGCAGAACATATATTATAGAATTGCATACCTGAAACTTACATATTGTTATTAACCAATGCGACCCCAATAAATTTAATTAAAAATGTTTTTAAATGTTATCACCTCCTCCTATGCCATTTTTGTAATGTATTTAATTCCACCTTGATATTTTTAACCTCCACAAATTCAATATTGTTACTTCAGTTTGTATATTCAATGTTCACTTAGATTTATCACACTTTGTCATTTTATTTATTTATCACTTATATCTAGATCTTACTTGTGGAGTTATTTTCTTTCAACCTGAAGTGCACTCAAGAATTTTCCTGGTAAGGAACTATTGTCAGTAAAATCTGTTTGGTTTGCCTGGAGATGCTTTTCACCATCTTCTTGAAAGGTAGTTTCTCCAGATATTAAATTCTATTTTTTCCTCACACTCTAAGGATATTATTAAACTGTGTTCTTGTGACTACTGTTGCTACTGATATGTCAGCTGTCATTATAATTGCCATTCTGTGAGGGTAACTTTGTCTTGGGGGCTGTTTTTACCATCTTTTTGAATTTGATGTTCTTAAGTTTGACTCTGATATATGTAGGCATGGACTTATATTTTTACAACTTTCATGAGGTATAATTTACTACAATAAGCTGCACATATTCAGAGTGTAAATTATGGTGTTGTTTGACATATGTGTTTATCCTGGAAAAGGGAAGATCAAAGAATAAAAGCCATTTTAAAAGATAATGACTAGATTTTCAGAGCCTACTGACTTGGATTCAACAGCTGAGAGTAGAGGGCTTCTGGAGCCAGTACACTTCTTTGGCATTACTCACCACATACTGGTAACCTGCAATTATCTTCAACAAAGAACTTCTATAATGTATAGAATTAGACCTTTTAGATATTTTAACTCTATGCATAATAAAAAATATAATTTTGATTTATCTTTACTTAAAAGAAGACTCTTGCAGAGAGAACTTTGAAAACATACTCCCATAATTTCCTATTACTGTCCAACACAAACTCTCTGCCTCGTCACTGTCTCTTGGACACCCCCAAATATACCATAATTATTCTTACTTTCCAATCTTTGCTGTTGTTGTTCTCTCTAAATTGCTCTCTTTTTTCTCTGCCATCCTCTAGCAAGGCTAGGATTGGCCCTCGATATAGACTCTGCCACAGAGTCTTCTTTATTTGTAGTAGCTCACATCTCTTCTTTTGGGCTCTGTCTAGATGACATGTCTAGTGATATAATCAGATAATCTGGTACACTTGTGTTATTGTTTAACAGTTTTTGCATACTTATGTGACTTGTCTTCCCAGTGACTAGAATTGACCTAAGAACAGGGATTTTAGGTCTGGAAGTTACATTTCCATTTTATTCTCCAGAGCACTTAGCACATGAACTAGTTCCCATAGCATATGTTTAACTGTTTATTGAATTTAACAAAAATCATCCATTGGATAAATGACTTTGAGAGTCATATAAATGTCACCTCTTTAACACCACAGTTCTAGTTAAAGGAATTATTTAGCTGATAGAAACTTAGCATTTTCTGTCCTTCTACTGTATGATTAACAATAACTTCCCCCAAAAGATATGTTTCCTATCTTTTTAAAACATTTTTTAAAAATTTATTTACTTTTAGAGAGAGGGTAAGGGAAGGAGATAGAGAGGGAAACATCAATGCGTGGTTGTCTCTCACACACCCCTACTCAGGACCTGGCCCGCAACTCAGGCATGTGTCCTGACTGCGATCAAACTTGTGACCCTTGGGTTCGCAGGCCAGCACTTAGTTCACTGAACCACACCAGCCAGGGCTCTTTCTTATCTTTTAAAAGAACCATACATATGTTACCACACTGCCTCTCCATATAACTGATGAAAATTTTGTTAAAATTTGGGAAGTTACAGAACAGGATGATAGCATATTGAAAATTTTAGATGTAGGCCACGTTGATAAAGGCAGAGACAAACAGGGAACCTGAGATTTCAAGGAATTCAGTTTTAGGACACTATTTTTTTTCATGTTACCCTGACTATATTCCCACCCTTTCTTTTAATCTACTGTAAATGTAACTTTTATTAGCTCCAGATGGCAGGGATTTCAGGCTCATTTAAGTAACATGAAAGGCCAAAATTAGTATATTAGCACCAGTGTCTTGGAATTCTCAGAGGGTTGTATAGGAGGCTAAGTATTAAGAATATGGTAGGCAGCAGCTGGATGTTGGACTAGGGTATAGATTCGGTTGTTGCTAGCTGAGACTACAAGCTGTTTTAGCGATTATTCTCATTTTTCAGAAAAAGAGATTTTTAATGTTTTTTCTCTTAATTTAAAATGCTGACAATTTTTATTCCCTTTTGTTCTTTTCCCAATCTCATTTTCCTCTACCTCACATACAACTATTCTAATATGTAGCTTTTTTATTATATGTGTATTATGTGTATTGTTTTGTATGCATTTTACTTTATGTAAATGTTATTGCATTATACATCTCTTTTTAGTTCTTTTTTTCTATACAGCACCATGTTTTTGAGATGCATCCATTTGCTTTCTTGAGCATTTTATTTATTGCTTCTAACTACTATATATCTATTAAGGTATACCTCCATCACACTTTGTTTATCCACTCTCCCAATGATAGAAACCTCCAATTCCTTGTCCCCAAATAACACTGCATATTTTTGAAAAACACTATGCAGGCCAAGAAATACATGTGGGCAGGTTGAATTTAGCCTTCAGACTGCCACTTTGTTTCTAGCCTCTAATTTCAATTTGTTTATAATCTCTAAGACAAACCTCTTGCTAAACACCTGGAATTTCTTATCTTCTAGCTACAAAAAAATAAATAAATAAAATTAAAAAAAGAGTAAAGGGGAAAAAAATCAATGAAAAATTTACAGAGTTCTGTCAGCCATTCAAGCACGAGAGTTATCATTACACGACACCAAGATGACATTTTTGTAAGAGAAAATTCTTAAACTACTTAGCAAGACTAAGTGTCCCAGGGAAATATTGATGGATGGCAGGTGTCACCTGTGTTTTGTTGCATCCTCACTCTACAATCAATTAGGTTATTTTATTCCAGCAAAGGAAGAACAAGTGTTAACACAATGAGGCTCCACCTCAATGAGTTACTGACATGGCTTTTCCAATCTTAAGTTATCCCGCACAGAAACTTCGTTTGCCACATAGTTGAGGCAAGAAGCAAAGTCAAGGAAACCCATTAGGAAGTGGTAAGCTATATCTTTGAATGAGAACAAACTTGTTTTAGAAATGCATTAAAAATCTGATATTAAGTTGCTTCAGTTTAGAAGCCTTGTTCTTTCATACTTTAATGAATCTCCCACAGCTGTTTTGGTGATGTTTTCTGATTTGGGTATCAGTCATCGCCACCTGACCATTTCACAGGCAAGCCTGGACCAAGGGGACAAGTAAAGGAGAGGAATTAAGAAAAGCAGGGGGTTTTTTTGCCCTGGCTGGTATGGCTCAGTGGATTGAGTGCAGACCTGTGAACCAAAAGGTTGCTGGTTCGATTCCCAGTCAGGGCACATGCCTGGGTTGCGGGCCAGGTCCCCAGCAGGGGGTGCGCAAGAGGCAACCACACACTGATGTTTCTCTCCCTCTCTTTCTCCCACCCTGCCCCCCTCTAAAAAGAAATAAATATAATCTTAAAAAATAAACTAATGATATTAAAAAAAGAAAGAAAGAAAAGCAGTTCTTTGAGTCCTACAAGGACACAGCAAGAGCCTCCTGAGTGTAAGGGGGAATGACCACATTGATTAAGTAACTCCTTTGAGATCCAAAAAAGGGTCCCAATTATCAGAAGGTAAATAAAATCAAACATACTTGCATTCTCCACCAAAACCTTGGGCATGCGCTGGCGGTTCATCAGGAGTGGGAAGGGATCTCGCCCATCATTTTGTTCATGGACCTCTCGAATTTCTACTGTATCATCCATAAGATAGTAATGAATGATGTAGTTCCGACATTCACCGAACATGTTGTCTGTATCATCCCAGATTGCATAGAATCGAAGAACCTTTGAGAAATCAAAAGTAGTGACTTGTAAAAGTAGTGAGTTCTACAAGTGGAGAATTTAACTTAGTTTGGCATTTATATATCAGACAATAATAAAAAGTTAGCTAGAAAAGACAATGAACAATCTCAGATGATTCATAAAAAGGAAATATTTACCAAACATACAAATATATCTGAAATTATGTATCACATGTCAAAAGCTCGAAAATATTAATAGGCTTATAAATTTGTGCTGAGAAAGAATTCAGCTTCTTCCAAAATATTAGTCAGTGGAAAAGAAGATGAATTAAAAGAGCAATGGATCCTGCATACAGTGGTTTATATGTATTAACAAAGATCCACGTGAATGGTTTATATATAATTAGTATGGAAAGAATTTTCATTGATCAGCCTTTTTTTTTTTTAGTTCCATCAACACATATCTTCTAGTAACAGTATCAGCAACATAATCTTTAAATACAATAACAGATATATGAGTGATATAAGGAACGTCCTTATACAACTGTAATTGCGCTACGTAACATTTTCTGAACTAAAAGGAATTACATTTCTGAGAGGGAAAAAAAAAAAGCAGCAAAGAAGCATTGAGGGTGATCTCTCTGTTTTCTCTTTCCCTTTAGTACACAAAGGAAGACTGAAATCTGCTTCTCTACACAAGCCCACAAGGAGGACAGTAGGATGGCTGGACAGAGTTAGAAAATACCCAGGGCATTCTGTACTCATACATTAATAGATAATTTAACAAGAAAGCATCTGCAGTGGGATAGCTTTGACATTACTATTTTAACATTAGAAAACTACATATATGCAACACCTTTGAAATTTCCCAATAATTCATTTAAGGTTTCCCAATGGATTCTATGAGATTAATTCATATTTGGGAAAAGAAGTAGCTGGTTGTAAATGTAAAGTGGGAAGCAGATGTAGCTCAGGAATGCTTTACGATTTAAAAGTTTGATGGAACTCACAAGACAACTCCACAATCTTCTTTGAACCTCTAGTACAAAACTGAGGCATTGCTATACCTCTGAGTCTAGATGAAACCAGGAAAATGGCACTGTATCCAAATGGTTACATTATAGATAGGTTTCAAAACACACATCTACCAAAATAGCTTACTAATAAACGCTGCCACATTTGGCAAGGAGTAAACTTACTAAGGTGTCTAGGTCACTTACTTGTTTGTCAAAGGTGAGAAACTGCTTGAGTTGATCAAAGTCGGAGGGAGTGACATATTTACGAAGAGGCTGTTTGCGGAGTTCAATGTAAGGATCGAGTGCCATCTTCTCAGGTGGATTTAATTCAATTCCTTGACTTTCCAAAAATACCTAAATATTTCAAAATTAATAGTGATAATCTTTCTAGGAACTTCTTAAAGTAAGTTTTAACTGATGGAGTAAAAATAAGTGTATTCATTTCTATACCACGGCCCAGGTTAACCATTAATTTGTGGTTTGAGCATGTCTTAGAAGTACTGAGTCTCCAATTGACCCAATTCAATAATGCAGGTAATAATTGTTAATTACCTTAAGTATTCTACATTATAAAATTGATAGGCAATATGATAAGCTCCAAATATGAACTCAGATCAATGACATTTAGTTAGGTGTCCAAGCCAAAGAGTAAGTCCCAGGATTACCCACATGCACCAATCTGAAACCTAAAATTTCAGACAATATGGAATTGACATCGGGTATAGGGACAGGCTGCACAATGGCAAAGTTAAGCTCAAATCAAATTCCCAATTTTCCAACTCCTTTAAAACAAGTATATAATTAAGTCTTCCCTGCAAAATGAGAAAAGAAAACATACCCACTCATTTAGACCACAAAATGTGTTAGCGAAAGAGGAAAGGCAAATTAAGTGTTCAAATATGACTAGAAAAAATTAAGGAAAGCATTTGAACTTGACATTATCTTAAATTTTATTTTGCTAATTATGAATAAATGTATTATTTTCAGTCATTATATCTTTAAATACTTGATATTTTTTTTCTTCTTAAAAGCACCACAATGAACTATGCCTTTTTTGATAATCTGAAAAAAAAAGTTAATGAGATCTGCTTACATTCTGGAACTGGAAATTAACCTGAAAACAGAGTTTCTTTTGGGAATTGTGTAGTTTGTTTTTGGAGAATTCAGTAGAAAATATACAGAACACAGGGCCAAAATATTTGGTCCTAGTATCAGCTCTGCTGCTAATTTCTTGTTATCTTAGTATTTCAAGTTTTACTAGGCAGTCTCCAATGTTCTTCAATATTAAAATATGATTTTTAATGTGTATTAAAACTACTGAGCTGGAGATAATGACTAGCAATAACAATTCTCCTCTCCCTTGAGTGTAGCAGGATGATTGATTTAAGTATTTAATGGGTGTTTTACTCCTTTCTGTTGCTTTCAACAGATAATCAGGCCCTTTGTAAACCTTACCTTAGGGATTTGGGCAGGAATGTAGAAGCTTCCTGTGGTTGACTGTTCTTCCCAGTCTCTTAGATAAAGCCTAAACCCTTTGAAGAGATTGTCCTAAAGTGTCCCAGAAGGAGGGAAGGGAATGGCTTTGAAGGCACAAGGAGAGAAAGGGGGAAATGCTCCCAGACTGGAAAGTAGACACAGGTTGGTGGGTCTCAGAAGAGCAAGACTTTACATGTGATCTGTAGGGGTGCTCTGAGCAGCCAATGAGGTGCATTCAGTCTCAGGCATCCAGGGTCCCAATGTCTTACCAAGCACCTAAACGTAAGGGGGGTGTCCTTGGTCAATGGACAACCTGTGAACCCTGCCAAATGACTCCTTTGGGTCTGGGAGTACTTCTTTGTTCTTAGATCTTGGAATCTTTGGCAAAGCTGAGGGTGAATAGAAATGCGAGCTCATTTGGATTGGGGCTCAAGTAGGTTTTAAGTCATTTTTTAAAATTGTATTTTACTGACTATGCTATTACAGTTGTCCTGACTTTTCCCCCTTTGCCCCCCTCCACCCAGCACCTCCCAGTCCCTCAGGCCATCCTCCCACCATTGTCCATGTCCATGGGTCGTGTGTGTAAGTTCTCTCTGGCTACTCCATTTCCTATATTGTACTTTGCACCCCCGTGGCTATTTTGTAACTCCCTATTTGTACTTCTTAATTCCCTTACCTCTTCACCCATTTCCCCACAACCTCCTCCTATCTGGCAACCATAAAAATACTCCCTGAATTCATGATTCTCTCTGTTCTTGTTTGCTTAGTTTCTTTTTTAGATTCATGTTGTTGATAGACTTTATTTTTTGCCATTTTATTGTTCATAGTTTTGATCCTCTTCTTTTTCTTAAATAAGTCCCTTTAACATTTTGTATAATAATGGTTTGGTGATGATGAACTCCTTTAGTTTTCTCTTGTCTGGGAAGCTCTTTATTTGCCCTTCAATTCTAAATGATATTTTTGCTGGGTAGAGCAATATTGGCTGTAGATCTCTGCTTTTCATGACCTTGAATATTTTTTGCCAGTCCCTTCTAGCCTGCAGTTTCTTCTGAGAAATCAGCTGACAGTCTTATGGGAACTCCCCTGTAGGTAACTAAGTTCTTTTCTCTTGATACTTTCAAGATTCTCTCTTTATCTTTAACCTCTGGCATTTTAATTATGATGTGTCTTGGAGTGGGCCTCTTTGCATCCATCTTGTTTGGGGCTCTCTGTGCTTCCTGGACTTGCATGTCTATTTCCTTCACCCAAATTAGGGAAGTTTTCTTTTATTATTTTTTCAAATATATTTCCAGTTCCTTGTTCTTTCTCTTCTCCTTCTGGCACCCCTATGATGTGAGTGTTGGGCGTCTTGAAATGGTCCCAGAGGCTGCTTACACTATCCTCATTTTTTTTGGATTCTCTTTCCTTCTTGTTGTTCTGATTGGTTGTTCTTGCTTCCTTATGTTCCAAATCATTTATTTGATTCTCGGCTTCATCCACTCTACTGTTGTTTCCCTGTAATTTGTTCTTTATTTAAATTGGTGTATCCTTCATCTGACTAGGTTTTTTTATGCTGCTGAGATCCCCACTAATTTCCTTGAGCATCCTTCTAACCAGTGTTTTGAACTCTGCATCTGATAGATTGCTTATCTCCATTTCATTTCGCTCTTTTTCTGGAGTTTTAATCTGTTCTTTCGTTTGGACCATATTTCTTTGTCCTCTCATTATGGCAGTCTTCCTGTGTTTGCTTCTATGTAGTAGGTAGAGCTGCATTGATTCCGTGTCTTAGTAGTGTGGCCTAATGTAGTAGATTTCCTGTAGGGTCCAGTGGCACAGCCTCCTCTATCACCCACACTGGGTACCATTCATGTGGGCTGAGTACACCCTCCTCTTGCAGTTGAGCCTTGGTTGCTGTTGGCAGATCAAAGGGAGGGATTTACCCAGGCCAGTCAGCTGCAAGGATTGGTTATTACTACTTACCACCAACCTCTGTCCTCTGTGGAAGATCAGCTGTGCAGGGGCAGGGTGGTGGTACTCTGACATCATCTGTAGCTGTCCACTGGGTGTACTGGCCCTAGGGTTTCCTGGGTGATGCAGGCCAAGTTCAACCCCAACCTGTGTTTTGCCTGGGGCCACCCTGCCTGAGCTGTAAAGCAATCTAAGATGGCTGCTACTTGTGCTGGGCTTGGAGATTCCCCGGCAAAGCCAAGCAGTGAATCTAAGCTGGCTGCTGCTAGTGCCAGGCCTGGGGCTCAGAGACCAGCTGTTGCTTGTTTGATAGGATTTAGGAAGCTGTGACGCATGAGCCATGGCCAACCATTCACGTGGAAAAGCAGCTTGAGTGGGCTCCTAAGTTGAGTGGGGTAACATTTCTAGGGATCTCCAAGGAGGGCCAAATAGTGTTAGCCAGGTTGATGGAGTCTCAGATTTGGCACTAGCTTACCGGCTCGATGGGGGAAGGGTTTAGCAAGGGACAATGGCCTCTGCTAGCCTTGATACCAGATACTTCAGTTTCTCCCTGTATACCGCTGGTGTTTTTCAAGTTGCTACCCTGGGGATGGAACTCAGAGAGAGTGAGTCTGAATAGGTGAGTCCATCTGTGTGCTCTTTAAGAGGAACTGCTTGGTGCTCCAGAAGTTTCTTCCATTGACTCAATCCCCACTGGTTTTTGCAGCTGGAAGTTGTGGAGACTTATATTCCTGGCACTGGGACCCTAGGCTGAGGGGCCTGCTGTGGGGCTGGGATTCCTTGCTCCCAAGATTTCCCTCCCAAATTTTTATCCACCATACGTGGGTGAGAGACCAGCCCATTGTGCATCTGGACCCCTTCTACCAGTCTGGATGGATGCGGTTTCTTTAATTCCGTAGTTCCATTCAACTTGGTTCTGAGTGATGGTTGTCCTATATTTTAGTTGTAATTTTGATGTGGTTGTGTGAAGAGGTGAGCTGTGTCTGCCTACTCCTCTATCTTGACCAGAAATGTTATAAGTCATTTTTAAAATTAATATTTTTGCTCCCTGGCCGGTGTTGCTTAGTGGATTGCGTGCTGGCCTGCAAACCAAAGGGTTACCAGTTTGATTCCCAGTCTAGGGCACATGCCTAGGTCATGGGCCAGGTCCCCAGTAGGGGGTTCGTGAGAGGCAACCACATTGATGTTTCTCTCCCTCTCTCCATCCCTTCCCCTCTCTAAAAATAAACAAATAAAATCTTTTAAAAAATAATATTTTTGCACACCTGTATTTATAGAGTAGGATTCACATCTGCTTTACTAGGCTTACTACTTTAGTGAAGATAATAAATTCTAGATCTCTGTTTCTGGAGCTTTATTTTTTAATATGTTCAGTTTATTCTGTGTATAGGACCAAACATTTATTTGGCGTAATGAGGAAGGGGTAAGAAGTGATGGTGGTGGTGATATATTTAAAGAGGGGTGGCTTCTTGTTCAACTTACACCCTAAAGACAGCTATCTTTGTTATTCACTCATAAGTCCAGCCTTAATGAAAACCATCAAGTTAGATAAGATGTGTACAATTTTATACTGTAAAGGAGCCAACTTCTAACCTGATAGATGAATTACTGAAAACATTAATTCAATCTAATCATCAGTGTCTGAAATACACAGCGTTAGTCTATTATCAGTCATTAAAATACAGTTGGTCCTCATTACTCACAAATTCTGTATTTGCAAATTCGACTACTTCCTAAAGTTTACCGTTAATCTGAAAATCAGCATTCGCAGTGCTTTTGAGGTCCTCCAAAGATGTGCATGGAGTGATGAAAATTTGAGTTGCCTAATGCTCACATTCCTAGCTGAGGTTGAACAGGATAACATTCTGCCATGTTTCAGCTTTTGTACTGAAAAAGTATCCTTTAGTGCCACTTTTCCTCACTTTGTGCTTTTTCTTGGTGATTTTGCTTTTAAATGGCCCCATCCTTAGCGCCAAAGTCTCATATTATACATGAAAGAAGGCTGCGATATGTACTTAATGCCACTAAACTATACATCTAAAAAGTGTTAAAATGCTAAATTTTATGGTATATATATTTTTCCACTTAAAAAAAAAAAGGCAGGTGTCACGTCCCTGAAGGAGAAAACACATGTGTTAGATAAGCTTCATTCGGGCATGAGTTACAGTTATAGTGCTGTGGCCATGAATTCAATGTTAATGAATCAACAATATATTTTAAATATTGCATCTTGAAACAAACACACATAAAATAAAGTTATATATTGATTAGTTGATAAAAATGTTGTGACCAGAGACTTATAGGAACCTAACCCTGTATTTCTTCTAGGAGCAATGGGGTAGTGTTTGCTAATTAAATGTGTGTGGGAACTATAAAGAACAATACTACCATGAATAATAAGAACTGACTTACATCAACTGCTCAGTGATCAACTTGCAAATGTTCAAATTGTCCATAAAGACACAATTGTAAAAATAATTTTAATACCTCAACTTAATGTAACATTTTATAATTTCTCATTGTTGGCACAAATCTGAAATTGCCTTTGATTAAAAGGTCCTCCAAAACCTAAACAATGACAGATCAAAACATGTTTGAAGGGGACAATATCTCAAAGATGGTCTAGCATCTGTACCTAAACAGGGATTATTTTTCCCTGTTGCTTTAGGATGACACAGATGCTGTGGCTCCTTTCCTTACTTCCTTGCGGTTTTTGTTCATGTGTCATCTTATCTCTGAGGCCTCGCTGATCAGCCTTTATATATAGCGACCTCCTCCAACTCCCATCCCCTTTACTCTGCTTTAGTTTCTTCTTAGCTCTTATCAGAATCTGACATAAATTTATTTATTTATTGTTTTCTCCTCCAACTAAAATGTAATAAAAAGCAATTCTTTATACTTGGCACCTAGAACAATGTCTGGCACATAACAGGTACTTGATAAGTATTTGCTAAATAAGTAACTTAAAAAAATAAATGAGTGAATTCATAGGAGCTCAGTGGATGGTAAAAATTAGTCTCATCTGGCATTAGGTAACATGAGATTAAAGGCAAAAATAATTCAGATACTATCTTTGTTTCTGGAAAAATTTTTAACTAAGACAAATTCTGAATTGCCTATTACCTACATTTTGTGCTAAAGAAAAAAGATCTCTCTCTCTCTCTCTTTTGCAATTTTAAGAAAATCCATATTTATAAAATAGAGAAAGTGGAGAATTTTTGTTAATATAAAAAAGTGTTTTCCTTTTAAAATTTCTTTATTTAAGGAATTCTTTAGACAGCAATTTTCCCTATTATATAACAAGTATGATTAACAGAAAAAATATAAATTGCACAACAAAAATTTTAGGCTCATATCTGCTAATAGAGGGAGTACTATTTTTGTGAACTCAGACTTCAGATAAATTGTCCAATGCCTCTTTCATAGTTCCACCCCATGAAGTGTGCTACCTCCCCTACTCTCTATTTGAAGTGGCATGTGAACTAGTTTCTTATCAAATGATGAAGCTATGATAGGAGTTCCATTTTATTTGAATGGCTATGTATCAGTATCATTGTGAAAAAATGACATCACTGCATAGTGTTGGCACATAGCACATATGAGGGGTGACCCAAAAGAACCCCTGGAATTTATTTATAAAAAATTGTCTATTGATTCTTACATGTATAAACTTCAGTCACCTTCAGAGTACTCTCCATTTGATGCAATACATATTGGGACTTTTTTCCACTGCTCAAAACAAGTTTTTGAACTCATCCATTTTGATGCCTTTTGTTGCTTCTGCCATTTTTTCTTTCAACTCTTCCACATCAGCAAAATGTTTCCCTTTGAGGACTTTTTTTCACCCAAAGAAACAAAAAAAGTCGCTCGGGGTGAAATGAGGTGAATAGGGAGGGTGGAACATGACGGTCATGGCATTTTTTATTAAAAACTGCTCAACACTCAGCACAGTGTGGGCAGGTGCACTCGTAAATCACCAATCATGAAATGGGCAAACGTGCTGAGTCTTCAAAAAAAATTCACTGAAGCCGAACATGGCCTCTTAACAACACTGCCAGCTGGCACACTGATACAGATGGGTTCCTAGAGCACTCACCTAGTGGGGGAAGCCTATACAACAAGGGGCTTACCCTCTAGGAGATAATTCTGGATTTTTTGCCCTCCCCCCTGTATACAAATACCAAACCAATCTATGTAATAATCTCTACATGACAGATTATCTAATCCTAACAAATATATCCTTCATAAATTAGAATGCCTCAGACACCACAACTTCCCAAAACATATACTATACCTGAGTGAATCGGTCACATTCAACAATGCGGAAAGTTCTGCCATAAATTGTAATGTTTATTCCTCGATTTAGGTCTTTCCAATGGTAATGGTCTCCCCGGTCATTCTTGGCTAGCCGCTGGCGTTTGATTAACTTGCCTTGAGGGATCCCAGAGTTTTCCACAATGGGCTCTATGACTGACATGCTGTCATCTTCTAGGTAGTAGTAAATGTTCACTTGACGAATCCTATAGTGTTCCTCTGTTGACATAGGAACATCTTCTTGGAAATAGGCATCAAATTTCAGTACCTATAACACGTAAAGAAAGAAGAAATCGTGTTGCATTAGTTTATCATCCAAAAAATATCAAGTACCTCCTATAAAGAGAATCACTCAGGGCGATTTCAATATTCATCATTTCTTCCTCCTAAATCAAAGAGGGCCAAACCATGGTCCAGCAGATAAATCTACCCCTGCCACCTGTTTCCGTATACAAGCTAAGAATGGTTTTTTACATATAAATGGTTTTTAAAAAATCAACAAAGTACAGTTTGACAATATATGGAAAATACATGAAATTCAAATTTCTGTATCCACAAATAAACTAATTACATAAATAATTAACACTTATTTGCTAATGGCTGCTTTCCCATTACAAGGGCAGAGTTGAGTCACTGTGACAGAGACCATTTGGGCTGCTGCTACATTCTGAATTGTGTCCCCCCAAAAATTCATGGTGAAGTCCTAACGCTCAATGTGACTATATTTGGAGATAATTACCTCTTTACAAGGTAATTAAGCTTCAATGAGGTCCTTAGAGCGGGGCCCTAATCCAATAGAAATAATGATATTCATTCTCTCTCAGCATGCACTGAGGGAAGGCCGTGTGAAGACATAGAAAGAAGTCAGCTCTCTGCAATTCAGGAAGGAGCCCTCACCAGAAACTAAGTCGGCCGGAAGCTTGACTTTGGTCTTCTAGACCCCAGAACAGTGAGAGATAAACTTCTATTGTTTAAGCCACCAGTCTGTGGTATTTTATTATAGCAGTTCAAGCAAACCAAGACAGCTGCTAAGCCCAAAATATTTTCTATTGGCCATATACAGAAAAAGTTTGCTGACTGCTACTCTAAATACTCAGACTATGTGTAGACTATTTACTAATGTGTTGCTTAATGAGATGGTTTAAAGACCTTAAGCTTCACTTCCATATCAAAAATCCCTCAGAATTTTTGGAAAGACTAAGAAATTTGGATAAGATTATGGCTTTTCAGTTAAAAATGAAAATGAAGGCTCAAGTCCATTTCTTTAGAAATTGAGTTCCTTGCAAATACATACCAATGATATAGTCGTTATTAGAAACTTTATACTAATAACTCTCAAATCATTAATCCCTCAAAGAACCCACCATTGGTGACACATAAATTGTGCTCAGAAATATGCATATATATGATCGAACAAAACCTAGGTCCTTTGGAGAGCATCAGTATCAATGTGAAGTCAAGATGGCATATCTAGAGTACATTTAAAAAACATTTAAATTATTATAAAAAGCTTATGTTGGCACGCTTTGGGATTTTTAAATTTGTTTTTATTTTAAATATTTTTTTAGAGAGAGAATGTATTAGAATGATATTAGGTATGCAAGTGTTAACCCAAACCTAACCTAGAATAAGAGCAACAAAACAAAGAGACCCTTTAGTAAAGACACAAAAATGGCTCAATGAATAAAAAGGATGAGTTAATTTTCATCCTTTTAGAGTATAGAGTCTACTGTGGAAGAATAAGATAAAAACCAAAAGAGAACCAGCAATTGCACAAGAGAAACATGAATATAATGGAGTGAAGGCCTTAAAACTCATAATAAAATAATGGAATGAGTTAATATAATAGAATGTTTGAAGGAAAAAATAATACGGTAAAAGCAAAATATAAAAATTATTTGAAAGTAATGTTTTAGATCAACTGTAAAGAACTGAAATGGGGACATGATCACTAAGTGGGGACAGAATCAGTAATTCATATATGAAATGGTCCGTATTTGAGCTGCAGGTTTATAAATACACAAAATGTTAGAGCCAGAAGAAATCAGGTATTCAAACCCTCCTCGTTTTACAAAGGAGGAGACTGGGACTCAGGGTGGTAGAGTGGCTTGTCTGAGACCACAGAAGGGGTTAGGGGTATAGCTAAGCTCAGTCACTACTACTTAGGTAATAGGTGCTATAGTGGTTCAGAAAGATGAATCTGCATGAGCTAAAGTAGTCAGAGAAAGTTTAAGTGGAGGAGACACGAGTGGGTTCCAGCAACAGAAGCACAAAAAGCAAACCCAGCAGCAGTATGCAGACTATGATGAGGAGGAAGGTGCTAGGCATGGCAATCACACTAAAAGCCCCTCTAGTAGTCCAGGTTTACAGTAGTAGACTAATCAGCAATGGAAAAACAAAGAGATTGATTGGACTGATAGTGAGGAAGTAGGAGGATGGGAGCCAGGTGAGATTGAGAAAGTGCAGTGCAGGAAATATAGTGATGATTCTCCCAGAAAGAAGATAGTTTTGTAGGGTAGATGGTGAGCTTGACTTTAGACTTGCTGAGTTTAAGCGACACCACAAGTTGATATTGCAGAGGGCAACTTGGGATGTAGCACTGAGGCTGGGAAAGAAGGCAATATTAGAGAAAAATCAGGATGACTCAAACAATTTGACCCAAACAAATGAAAGCATGGAATTGCTATCATGTTGATATGGGAAGACTAGAATGGAGCAGTTTTAGGGATGTGGAGGCAAATCAGGAGTTAAGTTTTGAACATGTTTAGTTTAAGATGTCTGTTAAACACTAAAGAGGAGATGTCAGATAGGCAATTACAAATTCCAGACACAGCACATCCTCATGTAAAGGACATTTCGAGCCATGAGTCTGGACCCAGGGAGGGAGCACAGGCAGGGGGAAAGCCCGGGCCCAAGCCCTGTGGCACACCCATGTTCCAACGCTGGCTGTTTCCTGAGGTTGGAAGGGACGAAAACGACTGCAGCAACAAGAACTTGGCCTCAGAATGGGAGGCAGGAAGGAAATACACACACACACTTTGAAGATTAAAATAACCAGAATCTCTTATAGTCTATTTAAAAATTTTAAGTAATAATAAGTTATTTAAAAACAAATCTTCTAGACTATGCCGTATGATCATTACAGGTGAATCCTAACCTTTGTCTACCTCCGTAATGAATTGTGACCACATGATCATTTTGTAAAATCTAAAAAATTCCTTTTGAAGCAAAATGACAAATTAAATCAGGTACAGCTCAGTCTTGGTTTTATATTCATTTTAGTACATTCAGACTATGTAGAGAAAAGAATTAACTGATTATGTATATTCAGATCTAATCAAAGAGACTGATTATTCAGTTAACTAGGGCACTAAATTCTCAAGTTCCCTGGTTATTTGGAAGTTTGTTGTCTGACATAAATGGTAAAAATTTTCTGTCAAAACACACTCTAGAAGTTTTTCTGTCTTCCCAATCATCTCTAATCACTTAATATGGATCAGTTTGTCCAATAAACATTTGGATTTACTCGGGCATATGATCTACACATATAGCTAAAACTACATGTTTTCCAATATATACTTCAGTGTTACAGAGAGCCAAGCTAATAATATGTGAGGTCTCAAATAAATAATACTCTAACCCCTAAAATACTTATTTATTTAATTGTTAATCAAAAAGGCATTTATTAAGAATAGAATCAAGAGTTCTGTGCTCCTCCTGTGAAGAAATGGCTGGGAAAGAATATAGGAAAGCTCTTCAGCAAGTAGTTAGGATAATATTAGCTTTCCCAGGTAGAATAGGATCATAATATATTATGTAGAAAGGAAAGAAAAAATGATATTGAGACACTGTATATAAAAATGTATTTTTCATGGAACTTTACAGTTGGATGGACACCTAGTTATCATGTAGTCTAACCTAATTTTATACATGAGGAAACTGGAGAATGTGACTCCCTATGGCTGTAACACTAGTTGGCAGAAGACCTAGAATTGGAATCGAGGTCTCCTAATACCCAGGAAGTGCTCAGAATGCCACCATAAATGTGGAAATATTTGCAATTACTTCAAGAAATGCTGAATATTTTCATATCACATACAATTATAAAAAGCCAAGTCACAGTTTTTCTATTTTTATTTTATTCTATTGTATATGTGGGTTGCATGTTAAGGTTCTCAATTTTTAGCAGTGACACAGATGATAAATTCATTTTATTTGTTAAAAAATAATTCATCTCAGTTTTAAAACTAATATTTATTGAGTACCAATCACACGAAAGCTAGTCCAGGTAGGAGGAACAGCATGTGCAAAGGCCCTGTAATGGGGGGAAATGTGTTACAGTTTTGAGAAAATCAGGAAACTAAGTGTTTTGTGATTGAAACACAGTGGGTAAAGAAAAGACAGGCCCAAGAGGAAGCTGAAGAAACTGCAGGGAGGGCCGAACCCAGCAGGTCTATGCGGCACCTGTAGAGCAGAATCTGTCTACCACTGGGAAAGTCATGGAAATATTTTTGGTTGGTATGTGACTTAATCTGATACCCATTTTTAAAATATAAGCCTGGCTGCTCTATGGAAAATTGTAAGAGTGGAGATGGAAATAAATGAACTTAGCTATACATTTTAGAGATGGAAATGAGAGACCTTGTTAAGATTGGAGATGGGTTGTGAGGGATGAGAAAAACCAAGGGTGACTTTCAAGTTGGGGGATTAGAGCAGCTAGGTAGACAGACAGTGGTAATGCTTACTGAGCTGGTTAAGACAGTATGAAGGCATTTTTGCAGAAAAAAATGACATAATGTGTTTTAGGGAATAAACTAAGCACTGGACATGTTATGAGCATAAAATTGAGCATAAAAAACAATTATGGAACTATTACAACATGTTTACATTTAACATAATGCTTGTTTGGACTATGATAGTAGGAGAGGAAATGGAAGTGGGAGCTATTTGACTTGGCAACTCACTGAAGGGGAAGGAAAGCCCAAAATGGCTTGGGTTTCAAGCTTTAGTTACCTAGTGGAGGCATACGGAAACAGCATATCTATGAGGAAAGGTGATGACTGGGGTTAAAGGCAGTCAGAACCTGAGGTGCCAACAGCTCATCCAGGGGAAGATATCCCATGGCAGTTTCAAAAAGTTCAGCATTGGGAATACTGACAGTTGTCAACACTGAGATGGTAGCTGAAACCATAAAAGTGGGTGAGATCTCTGAACAGACCCTTTAAAATGCTTACCATTAAAAGTGAGAAAAGAAAGGGAGGCCAGAAGAGAAGCAACAAGACAGAGAGGAAAACCAGGAGAGTGAAGAGTCAGTGGAGCAAAAGAAAAGCAAAGATTCAAGAAGGAAGAAAGGGTCAACAATGTCAAATACTGTAAATAGGTCAAAGAGAATGCTGGCAAAAAAAAGAAAAAAGAAGTTTGGGACTTGAGGGCAGAGGGAAGCAAATTATAAGTGGCCTGACAGTCAAGTGAGAAAGAAAGTTGCTTAAAGGGGTCACAAAGTAGAAAGGATATTTAGGACAGGATAGTATGACCCTAGTTAGAAGTACTTACTTCGATGTTTGAAATGGAAGTTAAAGATGAAAAAGATAAAAGAAAATAACATCAGGAACACAGAGAGGGACAGAAGCCTGGAAAGTAGAATATAGTAGGTGATGATGAAGAGAAATGTACAGGAGCAAAGGGAAAAGATGAGGACACTTATAGCAGATGTCCTGGTTCTTATCACCCGTGTAAGAAATAAAACTATACTCTAAAGATGGGGGATAGTATAAAGAATGTCTAAACTATGGACAGTTATGTTGGCTATTAAGTAGACTCCGGGCATTCCTAAAAAAAATTTAAACAGATTTAATTCAGAAAAACTATAACTCCATATTGTTAAAAAAAAATCTTAATTTCAAAACCATGCAATTAACGACTCTACCTCAGTATCTGCAGTAAGGATCTTTTACCTAGGAATTTTGATGATCCAAGGAAAATGAATAGAAATATTAAAATGTAAGTATACTTCTTCATGTCCACTATCTTTTAAAAAAATGAATTATGAATACTATTTTAAAAGCATAAGTTAAGTAATGACAATTAGCATAAAATAACAGAAAAAAATAAGAAGCTTCATTTCCTATTCAGGCACAATTTCTCTCTCTGCGTTTCATTAATATTTTCTCATTACATATAGGACTTTATAGACTTTACAGTTCATAATAGTCATTTACTGTTCTTTTCAATAAAAATTGAATCTGCCAGGATTTATATGTTGATAAACTGTTAAACATCTATCCCACTCCTCTCTTTCACCCTTTCCCTTATCTACTGATTTTGCAGTGTCTGTCACAGGTGTGAATGAAGAAGAAAAACAAAGTATAGAAATATTCAAAAGTGTAACTGATATTATTCAGTGGATTTTTAGATTTAGCCCATGAATCGATAACAAGAATTGTTCCTATCAAATGTGTTAATTGAGATGGGGAAGAGGGGATTATATAGATTCTGGATGATAAATTAAAAAATTGTTTAAACTAAGTGATTATTAATGGGAATGAAATAGTTCTATCACCAGACTATTTTATATCTTCAAACCTCCAGCTTCAATAGCTACTCAGTAAAGGTTGACTAGCTGGATGAAAATGGTATAGGCATTTAAAAAAATAATAAAATTAAAAGACAGAGATATTGAAATAAAGAACAAACTGAGAGTAACCGGGGGTATGGGAGAATGATAATAGGGGGCAATAGGAGAAGGGTCATCAAGGAACATGTATAAAGGACACATGGATGAAGCCAAAGAGGTAGAGATTTGAGGGTGGGAGGCGGGGATGGGTGAAGTAGGGGGAGTAGGGGCTGGAAATGGAAATAATTGTGCTTGAACAACAATAAAAAAAAAAAAGAATTAATTAATGAACAAAGAAATAAAACAAGTCTCTCCTAAAAAAAAAAAAGAAAGACAAAAAATAGGCTAGCAGTAAATTAGAAAAGGTAACTTATAAAATCTGGTCAGTAGTTCTCAGACCCAGCTATACATAAAAATCATCTGGAAATCGGAATCATTGAGGATTGGGGAAGCATCTTCAAAGGCCCATCTGTGATTCCACCGCATGGCCAGAGGTAGGACTACTTCACCTTAGTGAAAAGAGACTCACTGATGAGAAAGATCAAGGATGATGTGGACCTGCCAACAGGTGAAAATAAGGTAACTCTCCTTACAAAAGCATAAGGGTAAATGACACACACACAAAAAGGTTATACCTCACTTTGGTTATGCTATGCCAAGCCCGAAATGTTCCCTGAAAAACAAAAACTTATGAAGACAGCTGGGCGAAAACAGACAATAGACGGAGCTGTTGTCATGATGACATTTTGCATTTCATGGAGATTAAGGATTTGTCATCATTACAGAATAGAAAACTTTTAAAAAGTAGAAAACACAGAGCAGGTAAACAGAACAATATGAACTCAAGAATTCAGAATTCTTCCAATTTTTCTTTAACTGTATTTGGAAAATATTTCAGTGAAGTCTATGGGGAATTATTTTCTGTAATTGGCTTCCTGTCTAAAGAAAGGCTCTTTCAATCCTGAGTTCAGCTGTCTATGACTAAGGGTTGAGGCATTTGAGCAATTTTCTCCCTGTCGAGTACTCTGGAAAACCTGTCGTTTATTGTTGACTTTTCTGGAAACAGTTGGCTCTCAGAAATTTGAATTCACAGGGTACCCTAAAATCCCAGATGATACCTTTTTGTCAAAAGCCACATGTGCAGGAATAAAATCTGACGGTGGGGCCTGCTTAGGTTGGCCATAAGTTAGAAGTGACGCCTTACTGGCCAACTCATCCAGGTCAGCCTGGGACAGCTGGTTGAACTGAAGCCGGTCCCCGCCTATCCCAACCGTTGGACGTCGAGCGGTAGCATAGCCGTTTCTGTAGCCCAGTGTCTGGCTTCTATGAAATGCTGTTTTCTGAAGAAGAAAAGAAGTGTGTTATAAATAAAATTTGTTAGGTAAAAGGGCTAACTCTCAAAAATATTGTAACTTAAACCTTTGCTTATAAATATCACAAATCTTGTATCAAAAAGTGTACCTATATGATAAGGTTTTCGTACTTTAAGCTAAAACATTTGGCCAGAAACAAGGATGAATGCAGCATCCTGAGTTTAAAACATCAAGCCCTGCTCCAGAACACCCAATTAATTCCCAGCTCACTTCTCACAAGAAACTAAAATAATTGTAGTTTCTTAAAATAGTAATTTCTCACTAGTCTTCCCATGTTTTTCATCTTATCTAGTGGTCAGAAACCATGGAACCTAGAGGAGCTGGTTCTGTGAAAACAATTTTTAACTGAAATGAAAGACCTTTCCTATTACAATGACACTAACACGTTCACACAACTCTTTGAAAAGGAAGTAGATATTATACACGTAGAGTGCTGAGCTCAGTAATTCCACCTCATCTTTTAAGGATATAATACGAAATTATGGGAAAAAACAATATGCCTAAAGTTGACCATTATAATGTTAGTTACAACAGTAAAAACATAGGAAACAATAAAAAAGACAAACATATAAGTAAATAATGGAAAATTCACTTAGTGGAATATTACACAATCATTACAATACTGGTTTTAAAGACTATGTGACAATTTGAGGGGAAATCATTGATTTAATAAGCGCCCCAAAATAGCATATGAAATTGTATGTGCACTACAATTACAAGAATGAAAACAGGTGCTTGAAAAAAGACTAGATTTGGTGAATGCTCTCCATCTGTACTATACATTTCTGAATTATGTTGGCTTTTTTCCCAGTGGACTGTCATTCTTACTGGTAATTGGGGAAAAAAACAAATATTAAATAAAAAATAAAAAAATGTTAAGAAAATAATTTTGAAGACATAGGAGACCAAAATGGTTACATAAAAGGCCCAAGACTCCCCGTCCCTGCACAAAGATCAATGATTAGACGGCTACCATAAACAAAAAACGGCTCTGGAAGATCTCTAGAGTCTACTTAGGAGGTTTTAGCAATAGAGTGCAACAAAAAAAGTTGACAATAATCACACAAAATGAGAAGGAAGAGAACTTCATTTGGTTGCATCGTCCCATCCCCCAAGCAGGCCTTGTTCAGCGCCAAGAGGGAGTTTCCCAGACAGAAAGAGTTCCCCTCACCAGGAAAAGAAGAGATGGTGAGCAACCAGCTTCTCTAGTCTTTTAAGGCACAGCACAAAGGTCCCACTTCAGTTTCACCCCACCCAGACCAGTTGAGCTGAAGTGTACAAAGCCAGCTAGGAACAAGTAAGAAAACCAGGTCTGCTAGGAGTAGCCATAAGTGGGAATTGACTGTGGTTCACAGAGAACTGCTCAGTGGACAAACCCAGAAGATTCCACCACTTACCCGAAGCCACTAGTAAGCATAGCGGTGACCACTGTGTACTCCCCGAAGATTTCATTGGATTTCACCTGACAGGTATTGATGTTTGCTGTGACCCTTCACACTCCCCTTTTCCCTGTCCTGGCCAGAGGTAGCCAGCTCAGGCCTGAGCAGCTGCTCAAACACGAGATACCAGCACAGACTCCAGCCCGTAGCTGACCTCTACTGCTGTGCATGAGCCTGGAGCTAGCTCTTCCTGCTGTGCACCTGCATGTAACTGGCCTGACCACTATAACAGGCCCCATTACTTCAATGTGCATGCCCAGCAGGAGAGTGTGCACCTGGAGAGAATGCACAGCCACGGGAGAGCACACTGGCAACTGGGGCCTTTGTAGCTGCTAATGAGTCCATAGTTGGCCCCCGACCTTGCTGCTTGCTCTGGCCCCCACCACTTTGCGTATGTCTGCAAACAGCCCCTGCCATTACATTGCCACCTGCATCTAGCCCCCTGCAGCTGAGAAGGTGCGCACAACTGAATCTGGGTCACCAATGGTGGCCGTCCTGGTCCCTAGCTGCTGGACCTGGGGATGCCACTAAAGACCTGAACAGCCCTTGCAGCCACTGTAGAACACTTAACAGTGCTTGCCAAGGCCCACATGGTTGGCAACATTGGATACCCAGTGGCCTGAGCCCAAGAGACATCATGTCCACTCTCAACCCTGCCAGGCCCGGTACTGCTACACTACCTCTCATTTGGTGCCCTGCAGCACTAGACACAGGAATGAAGAGCCAGAAATTTCCTGATTAAAGAAAATCAAAATAACTGTCCTAAAGATTTTCAGAGGGCTACAAGAGAACACAGATAAATGATTTAACAATTATCAGGAAGACAATACAAGAACAAAATGAGAAGTTCAACAAAGAGACAGAAAATATTGAAAAGAAACAAAAATAAATTTTGGAGCTGAAGAATAAAGTGACTGAACTGAAGAATTCAATAGTAGCTTCAATGGAAGATTTGAATAAGCAGAAGGAAGAATCTGTGAGCTAGAAGGCCAATCAATTGAAATTATCCAATCAGCACAGCAAAAAGAAAAAAGAATGAAAATGAATGAATAAAGCCTAGGGAATTTATAGGATATTAATAAGAAAAATAATGTGTGCATCTTGGGAGCCCCAGAGGAGAAGGGAGGGAGAAAAGGGTAGAATGTTGACTTAAAGACATAATGGCTGAGAACTTCCCAAACCTAGGGAAGATATCCAAGCTCATGAAGCTGATAGACTACCCATAATTTTCAAACCAAAATAATTCTTCTCTAAGACACATGATAATAAAACTGTCCAAAATCAAAGACAAAGAGAGAATTTTTAAAAACAGTAAAAGAAAAAAGAAATCTTTCATACAAGGGAACCTCATAAAGCAATCATACATTTCTCAGTAGAAACCTTGCAGGCCAGGAGAGAATGAGATGATATATTCAAAGTGCTGAAAGAGAGCAACTACCAACCAAGAATATTTTACCCAAAAAAGTTAAGATTAAGAAATAAAGGCGAGATGGAAAACTTTCCCTAATAAACAAAAGAATTCATCACCACTAAACCTGAGGAGAAATACTGTAAGAAGTTCTTCAAGCTGAAATAAAAAGGCAGTAATTTGTAACATGAAAATATATAACAAACAGGTAAAGGGAAGCATATAGTTAGATTCAGAATACCTTGATACTGTGATATAGTGATGTGTTAACTACTTAAATTTAGTATAAATGTTAAAGGACAAAAGTATTAAAAAAGATATATGTTTTATGTAAGAAGCCTCATGGTAACCACAAAGCAAAAACCTACAGTGGATTCACAAAAGATAAACAGAAGGGAATCAGAGCAAACCACTACGGAAAGTCATCAGTTCACAAGGAGTGGCAGCAAGGGAGGAAAAAATAAACAAAGGAACTACAAAACAGCCAGAAAACAAAAGATGGTTTTAGTAAGTCCTTACCTATCAATAATTACACTAAATATAAATTAATTGATATCTCCAATCAAAAGGCAAGCTGGATTTTTTTTAAAGACCTAACTATATGTTGCCTACAAGATACTCACTTCATCTTTAAGGGCACACATAGGCTCTTAAATGAAGGGATAGAAAAAGATATTCCATGCAAGTGGAAACCAAAAGAAAGCCGGGGTAGCTATACTTGTGCTAGACAAAATAAACTTTAAGACAAAAATGGTAATGAGACACAAGGCGGTCATTATATAATAATAAGGGGTCAATTATTAAGAAGATATGACAATTGTAAATATATATGCACCCAATTTTAGGTGCAATTCAGAGCACCTAAATATATTAAGAAAATACTAACAGATCTGAGGAGAGAAATGTACAAAAAAACAATAATAGTAGGGAACTTCAATACTCCACTTTCAACAATGGATAGATAAGTCAGACAGAAAATCATCAAGGAAACACTGGATTTGAACTAAGATCAAATGAACTTAATACACATATAGAACAACCCATCCAACAGTAGCGGAATACCCATTTTTCCTAAGTACACATAGTAAATTCTTTTATTTTTTAATTTATTTTAATTAATTTTTTCAAATACATTTGTCTCTACCTACCCCCCTGTAAATTCTTCAGAATGGACCATATGATAGGTCACAAAACAAGTCTCAACAGATTAAAATCATATCAAGTATCTTTTCTGATTGCAATGATATGAAATAACAGAAAGCTAGAAAATTTACAAATATGTTGAAATTAAGCAAAACACTCCTTGAACAACCAATGAGTCAAAGAAATCAAAGGGAAATAAAAAAATACCTTGAACAAATAAAAGTGGAAACACAAACTATGAAAATTATGTGGATGCTGCAAAAGCAGTTCTAAGAGCGAATTTTTTATAGCAATAAATGTGTGCATTAAGAAACAAGAAAGATCTATACATATGGTGTCAGAAGGGTACTAGACTTATTGGGGTAATTATTTCATAAGGTATAGAAAGGCCTAATCATGATGTTATACATCTGTAACTAATAAAATATCATACTCCAACTGTAATTAAAAAATAAATTTTAAAAAATGAACAAAGCATCTCAAATAAACCACTTCACTTTACACCTCAAGAAACTAGAAAAAAGAAACAAGCAGAGTTAGCAGAAGGAAGGGAACAGCAAAAATCAGAGCAGTAATAAATGGAATAGAGACAGAAAAATGATAGAAAAGATCAACAAAACTAAGATCTGCTTTTCTGAAAAGATAAACAAAAGTGGAAAACCTTTAGATAAATTAAGAAAAAAAGAGGATCCAAATAAATAAAAACAGAAATGGAAGGAGCCATAACTGATACCACAGAAATACAAAGGATCATGAAAGACTACTGTTAATAGGTATACACTGACAAACTGGATAACTGAAAATAAATGGATAAGTTCCTAGAAACATGCAACCTATCAAGATTGAATCATGAAGAAATAGAAAATATGAACAGACGAATAATGAATAAGGAGATTGAATCAGTAATCAAAGATCGACCAACAAGAACAGTCCAGAACCAAACATTTTAGGAAGAATTAATCCAAATCCTTCTCAAACTCTTCCAAAAAATCGAAGAGAAAGGAACACTCCCAAATTCATTTTATAAGTCCAGCATTACCCTGACCCCAAAACCAGATAAGGATAATACAAGAAAAGAAAATGAGAGACCAATATCCCTGATGAAGTAAGTAAGCAAAAATTATCAACAAAATACTACTAAACCAAATTCAACAGCTTATTAAAAGCATCATATACCATGATCAAGTGGGATTTATCCCTGAGATACAAGGATGGTTCAACGTAGCACAAATCAATAAATGTGATACATCACATTAATAGAATGAAAGATTAAAATCACATGATCCTTTCAATAGATGAATAAAAGGCAATACGACCGACATCCACTCAGGATAAAAACTCTCAACAAATTTGATTATAGAAGGAACACACCTCAACATAGGAATGGACATATATGAAAGGACCACAGATAGTTAACATCATACTCAATGGTAAAATGTTGAAAGCTTTTCCTCTAAGATCAGGACCAACACAAGGATGCCCACTCTCAACACTCTTATTCAACATAGTTCTGGAAGTCCTAGCCAGAGTAATCAGATTAGGAAAAAAATAAATAAATAAAAGGCATCCAAATAGGAAAGCAAGAAGTAAAACTCTCTTTGTTTGCAGACAATATAATCTTACCTTTAGAAAACTCTAAAGACTAAACAAAAAAAACCCTGTTATAACTAATCAACAAATTCAGTAAATTTACAGGATACAAAATTGACATACAAAAATCATTGTGTTTCTATTCATTAACAATGAAATATATCTGAAAAATAAAAAAAAGATAACAATCCCATTCACAATAGCATGAAAAACAGTAAAATACTTAGGAATAAATTTAACCAAGGAGGTGAAAGATCTATATACTGAAAACTACAAGACTTTGATGAAAGAAATTGAAGACAGAAACAAATGAAAAGATAACTTGTGTTCATGGCTGGAAGATTTCATATTATTAAAATGTTCATAATACCCAAAGTAATCTATTTATTTAATGTAACCTCTACCAAAATTACAATGGCAGTTTTCACAGAAAAAAAATATCCTAAAATTTGTATGGTACCACAAAGGACCCGGAATAGCCAAAGCAATGCTGAGAAAGAACAACAAAACTGGGGGTATCACACATCTTGATTTCAAATTATAGTTACCCTTTAACAAAACAGGTTTGAAATTTGCAGGTCCATTTATATGTGAATTTTTTTCAGTTGACCCTGTGGTTCAAACCGGTATCGTTCAAGGGTCAATTCTGTGGTTAGGAATCCATATACGCAGAGGGCTGACTGTAATCATATGCAAATTTTCAACTGTGCAGGAGGTATGCACCCATAACCCTGAGTTGTTCAAGGTCAACTGTAGTTTGTATATTACAAAGCTATAGTAATTAAAACAGTGGTGGTAATCATTGTGCAAAATATGTGTATCAAATCAACCAGCTGTACATTTTAAACTTACACAATGTTATGTCATTATAGCTCAATAAAGCTGGAAAAGAAAATTGAAAGAAAAATTACAAGTTTATTTGATGGAATATTTTTTCCTTTTCCTGTTTTTTGTAACGGTAGGTTACTTTCAAAATCATATGTGTATGTGTGGGTGTGTGTGAGCGCGCGCGCGCGTGTGTATATATACACATATACATACACACAAATACAAATATATACACACGCATACACATAAAATTTAGGTTAAATCATAAAATATATTTTTAATGAAAGAATGGCTTATAACCTATCTACTAAATTGTTTGCAGCCCAACCTACCATTTTCATGATCTTTACTAACAAAAAAGGTACAATGGGGTAAATTTCTTTTGCTAATTTTTTTTGAGGGTCACAAATTCAGGGTCACAAGTCAGTTGACAAGAGCTGCTCCAGATGCACAACACACATGACAGAACAAAATGGGCTCAGTTGACTTCTTGACTAATTTGTATAACTTCAAGCTCCTCCTCTTCCATCTCTAAAGACAGAAGCAACATCAGCTGCTTCATTTGCTTTCCTCGTTTCAGACAGACATGGTTACCATCACTCAGCATATGGCCTTTATTAGTGGATCCTAATGGGCACCCCAGGCAAGGCAACCTAAGTCCCGCCCCCCACCCAGCCCTTCTTAGTCATTATGGTTCTTAATGCTGTGAGAGTTATACACGTGTAGTCAGTCCTTCAGTGCTGAAGACAGTGACCAGGTTTTTCAAATTTCAAGTAAGGCAAATCAGTTGATATTTGCCCAATGTATTTAAAATATGAAATATATCCAATGCATAGTTCATGTTAATTGTAGTATGGCAATATGTCTTAGAGCTTGGCACCTCCAGTCCACACCTTGGAATCAACCCTGCCTTGTGGGTAACCTGCACTCACCAAGGCCAAATGCTTGGGCTGCTCCTGCACAGGGCAGCAATGTGCCTACATGCTGAAGTGAAAAATCTATGATGCTGTGTCTTATTGCAGGAATAATTTGAAAAAGAGATTCAGAATTCAAATTTCCTCACCAAACTTTCAATTTCAATTCATTCTTATCCCACCCCAATAAATTGACTATGTATTTTATCTTACCTTTATGACCATAGAGAGGAACTTCTAGCTTAAATTATAAATTATTTAAATATAAATTGTTATCATCCCATCTATGATATCAGCCTACTGAATCTTAGTATTGATCTTCCAACATATATTTCAATAATCCTGCTAGAATTAAAACAAATACTAAATAATTTTGTCAAGGGCTAAACTATGTTAGAAGAGAAAAAGCTTTTTTCTCTCTTCAATTGTGTCTCTTCAATTTTTAAATACACTTAAGTCAAGAAGGGGCAAAACAAAATCTAAATATGAATCTTTTGTTAAAAGTTTAGATTGAAAATAATAGGACTACAAGGAGAAAAAAATTAATTGTGGTTGAAGGAACTGGAATGGAATTATCTTCTACAAAGCAGGCAAGGATGGTTTGGGGGGAAGATGGGCCTGAGTTGAGAGTTTAATTTTTGGAGAAACAATTGAGAAAGAAAATAAAATGGGAATGGGAAGAAGGTGGGACCAAACTGTGCCACCGAAAAAGCAGAAGTGCTGGACAGAAAAGGAAAGGGGCTGGGCAGAAGCATAAATGAGAAGGGTGCAGACTGCGGGAAAGGACCTGGTGGAAAGAAGAGGAGGAGTTGAAATGATATACAAGACGGAAATAGAGCTGGGGGTGTGAAAGGTTACTTGATCTAGGATTCGGGAGGAGGAAGGGAAAGAATGATTGGCCTGAGGAGAAAGGATGGGATGGGGCTGGGGTAAAGAGGAGGAGGGTGTAGAGATGCTGAGTGGGAGAAGGGGCTGAGGTTAGTGGGGAGGTGGCAAGGAGTTAAGGATGGAGCTGGGAAGAGAGGGGTACAGTGTGGGAGAATGAGCGTGGGGGAGAACCTGGAGAGAGAGCTTGGGAAGAAGGCGGGGCGGGGGCAGTGATCTAGAGGGAGAAGAAGCAGGGGCTACAGCAGCAAGGAATAGCAAGTAAGAACATGGCTAAGCCTACAGACCGAATGAACGAAAGCAGCAGACGGCCGAGGTAGAGTGGAAAAACTAGAAAGGGATGGAGCGGCGAAATACGGATAGGAGAGAGAGGGTGAGGCTGAGTCGGGGAGGACGACAAATTGCGGCGGGGAAAAGAAAACAGGGTCGGGGTAGAGGACGGGTTTGAAGGCAGAGAGAACAATCTCGGCTGGAGAAGAGAGGGCAACGAGCTCTCCGAAGCCTCCGAGGATGGAAACAGGTAGAGAAAGGTAGGAGCTGGGCGGAGAAGTCCTCACCGTGGAGTCCGTAAAGGACGTGCCCGGCAGAAAGGGCAGGCCATGCACGGGGTTGGACACCATTGCAGCCGCTATGCCACTACCACCTCGGATGGGTTTTTTTTTTTTTTGTCCTCCCTGGTTGCCCGGGAGACCAGCCGCGTTCGTCGGCCACGTGAAGCACCATGGTAACGCCAAACATTCCGAGCTTCCGCGAATGGAGGGCGGGGCCTGAGACTCCAGAGTGGCAGGTCTGCGCGTGCGCCGCTGGCGGGACTTTGTATTCTCGCGGTGAGATGACCGCAACGAAAGGGGCGCGGTTAGTGGTTATTGAGGAACTGGCCCTGACCCTCTTGTCTCCAGACGCTGGGACGTGGGAACTGGTGGGCGGGGTGGGAGGAGGTGATTGAGGGGACGCTGAAGTTCACGCAGTGAAGTCCAGTGGTCGGAGCGGGCCCTTTGATGAGTCAGAGTAGAAGGGAACTTCCTTCCTTCGCTCCGCCCCAGTCTTCACCGTGCCCACCGGCTTCCTGGGCTTGAGCGCTTTCTCTCAGCTCTGGGAAAAGGGCTCTCGTCCCAGTTCACAATGAAGTGTAAATGGACAGAATAGTCAGAGATGTAAATTACAGCATATGGAATAGTGTCAGTAGAATCATAATAACTATATATGTGGCCAGGTGGATTCTTGAAATAACGCGGGACCACTCTACAGAGTACTCGATTGTGTATGTCGTACATTTGAAACTGATGCAGAATAATATTGAATGTAAACTAAAATTTAAAAACTAAAAAAAAAAGATATTACCCACCCTGATATCTCTTCTTGGGGGCAGGGGTTAGGACTATTCATGGTTATCTCTCTGTTGCTCAAGGACGTTCAGAATGCAATCATCTTGTCCCTAATTCTTCTTCCACTACATTATCTTTTTTTCCACATTCGTTTTTCTTCTACTATCAATTCCTGCAGTTCTGCACCCTCTCAGTTCTTGCAGGAACCTAGCATGTTTGCCTCAGGATACTCAATATTTGTTGACTGAAAACCTACAGGACACTGAGGGCTGCTCTCTAGTTTGTGCCTACCTGCAGCAGCAATGAAAAGAGCATAACCACAAGGGGAAACACATCTTCAAAGAGAAAACTGTAAGTCAGAAGACTACAAATAAATGAGGTGAAATACTCTCAGAACCATAGCTATTCTCACCTTTGGTGCTTTTTACATAACTTAATTAAATTATTATTCCATAAAAGAAAATGTAACCCTCTTAAACATTTGCAAAAAGAAAAAGAAAACGATTCATCAGCACTGCAGAGCTTAAAAGAAAATTAAAAAGCAAAAAAAAAAAAAAAAAAAGAAGAAGAAGAAGAATCCAGGTGTTGGATTCATTAAGTCTGAAATGGAGCCCAGGAACCTGATTTTTATAACACCTCTTTCTGTTCATATAAAAAATAAAATAAACAGAGCCACTCTGAAATGGAGGTGGAGCTGCCACATCAGAGGAACTGCCTTGTAGTTCTTATGTCTCAGATCTTTGGAATGTTAAACATGGCAAAATAACCTTTGGACTGGGCCTAAACAACCTTGTGCCTTGCAAAAGAACTGTTTGCAAAGGTAACAAGAAAGCAATTATTACGGCTACTGAACTGCTAAACTACTGAGCTGAAAAATTAAAAACACTGTATAGGATTAGCATCACTATGTTATCTGTACTAATAGAAATGCTTTCCTTCTATTGGTGTAATTGTTCCCCTTCTCTTTCTCATAAATACCCATTGCCTTTGTCTCCTAGTTGAAACATTATTTGTGCTTCTGCGTCAATTATTGTTTCCTGAATAGCTATCTTTATTGATTTCAATAAATGCTTGTTGCATCTCACTTTGAAGGGTCTTTTTATTTTTAAGTGAACAATAATGAGCCAATTTAAGAACACGATAGAATAGCAAGCCTGGCACAGAAGGCATATCTCCGTGTCATGAGTAAGTGACTACCAATACAGACAACAGCTTTAGTTTCATTGCTGTGTGTCAGAACAAATCCCCCTGTTGGGTTTCACAAATGGGCATGAAGCTCAGGGGACCCAGGACATGAATCCATTAGTGGCACCTGAAACAGGTTTTGGTGGTTTCTGCCACACTCTGCCCTGAGAGTTTCTTTTCTACTAACTATTCCTCTCCCCTCACTATTTCTGTCTCCTGTTCTCCCTTCCCCTTTAAACCTTTTTAAGTTTTAATTTTCTATTGGTATATTACCTTAATGCAGGCATTTAATACATTTTAAAATATTAATGAATGGATTAGCATTGTTGAAGTTACTGAAAACTTTCAAGTATCTGTCCATTGCATTATATCTTAGTCACTGACCTAGGATGGAAACCAGCCACTGGGAGAATATTTCAAGTTGGCAAGTTCAAACTTCAAAGAGAAGATGCTTCTTCTGCTTTTCTCTACCTCATTGATGCTAAGTACCCAGAATCACTGAAAACTAGAATCATTGCTGGCTTTCCATGGTAATCTGAAACCATTACCACTTATATGATCCCTTTCTCTGCTCTCTTAATAAAACTAAATCCATGGCATTAGGTTATACTTTGAAGAGCCCTTCTGGCCTAAGTGTGTGGTTGCACTGGAGTCCAAATTCCCTGAGTTGGGTAGGGAAAAAAGTCCATGGGGGCTGGAAAGGGTGAGTCATGCCTAAACTTACCTTCCATTATGTCATCTCTTTGTCTTTAAGGAGTGTCCTCTGCTCAAAAGTCTTTTTTTCCCCCAGAATAGCACATCAGTTAAATGGTCAATGGAGTGCTTTTAACTACTATCGCACCCTAGAAAAGCATGGTGAAGAAAACTTCTCTCCATCTATGACATCATAAGAACGCCATCCCCTCTGTTGAGGGAAAGTCAGGCAGTGGTGAGTCAGCACTAAAAAAGCACAGGCACAGGTCTGTGAAGAATGGGGGTGAAAAAAAGACAGGGTTTTAGAAAACTGCTTAAGCCCTTGAGAAGGTTTGGCATAATTAAGAGTTTATATCCCATTTCTCCCAAACGTGACTTCTGAAGATGGATTGCACTTCAGTCTGAACTCACTATTTCCTGCTTTGTGGACCAAATAGGAGAAGACAGGAACCTGACCGCTTCTGTTAATTAAAATAGAAAGTGCCATGGTTGTAGACTGTGCATAAAGCCTGGACTCAGAAGACCACAGAAGCATTGCATGACCTTAGCAGGTTGTTTCAATGCTTCGGAAATGAAAAGTATGGAAACATCAGGCTGCCAGGAGGCCATGCCTGAACCAATGTCATGCTGAGTGACATCTCTCAGGGACTCCTGAGGAGTGGTAGAGGCAAGCAAGGACCTACTCAAAATAAACATCTCCTTTTTCAGCATTTGCCCAGAGCTGGCTTTATGCTGAATTTATTTTCAATTCTATGACATTATTCTTCAGTACCTAAAAATCACTGGACAAATATCAAATTGAATAGTGGGTGCACGTGTGTGCACACGGTCGTGTCCTATTTCTGCACTGATTTGACACTCTACCTCCCTCTGCTGGGTGAAAATGGTACACCCAGGTTTCTGAAAAACCCAATTACACACCAGCAAGTTTGAAAGGGTTGGGGGTGTGACTAGTGTTTGAATATGGAAATAAAGCTTTGCAGGGGAGTGTTCTTGAGTCTGAGTGCTCTCTACCTTTCATTTCCATCACTCTTTGGCTTATCTCTGGGATCTCTTATCTAAAAAGAGTGAGAAGTAAGTAAGTAAGTAAGTAAATAAATAAATAAATACAGTGCCCAATAAACTACTTTGATCTTTAGGAAGTATGGATTCCAAGCACATTTAGGACCCACATAAAAATCTTCATTTGACACAAAGTCACACAATTTGGATTTAGATTATTTTAGTCTTGCCATGGGCTCCAGCCAAGCATTTGAAAGCTTGTGTCTCTGCTGCTTTTTCTTCCCTTAAGTCAAACCCCCAACCTATGACTTTAGCTGATTGATTTGGAATTCCCTTCCTGCTGAAAAAGCCTATCAAATTTTACCTAAGTTTATTGTGAGAGCTGAGGAGTAGAGGCAAGAATCCAGGTGGGCTATTGCCAAGGCTGGGCCCAGGAGCACCGGCTTCAACAGGGTGGTGTCAGATAAGAAACATTTTTTTTTTTTACCACACTGAAACTGACTGCTCTGATTTTTTCCTCTGTATTTAACATCCTCCCACAGAGGTTCTACTACATTTACACATGTGATAAGCTACCCATCAGTATGTCCTCTGGGTTTATGTTTGAGGCCCACAAATCCCATTTCTCTCTTTAACGCAGTGTAGGTGAGGGGAGGAAGGTGCCCGCCAATGCCGGTGATAGTCCACAACATGCAGATAGAGTATTGAAGAAGGAATGTGGAGGAAACCAAGAAATTCCCTGCCACAACACATGAAAAACCCTGGCAAAATAAACCCATGGTAATCTGTTATGAGTGGAGAGAAATCCCTTCCAAGGGCAGAGAGCACTCACTCTGGCGAGGGACTTCCAAGAGCCCATAGAGAGGGTGCATGCATGTGTGTAGAACCCACAGTGTCCTGCTTGGAGTAAAGTGATAGAAATAATAATGGTGCCAATGATTGCCAGAGCACTTATGGAACACAAACTTTGTGCTAAGGTATATATTCCCACAGTAATATCAATCATATTTTGAGATAATTTGTTCTTGTTTGAAAAATAAAAAAGCACTGAATTGAAACGTTCGTCTTTAAGAAATTGTTTGAGCCCAAAACAGTGCTCAAATTCACTCGCATGAGGCAGAGGCTGTATTTAATATGTCCTAAAGATGAGGAAAGACTCACCAGACAAGTGTAGGGAAATAATTTGAGGATAGTTGGTCGTTTTTAAAACTGGTTTTGAGTCTTTGAAGATCTTTCAAGTGGTTACAGGTGGCTTCTGAGAACATTTGTAATGTAACTAGGTCCACATTGATTTCTAGCACAAAATACAGTTAGGAATCTCCCCGTTGGTAATATTTCACAAGTAACAGTGTAAGGATGGTTGCTTGGTAAAAAGGTCTAGAAATAAACCAAGAACTTCACCTTTAGTTTTATTTCATTTATCAGGGGAAAAAAATCGTATTACACTTCCCTCTCGTTTCTACACTTCTAATTCACACAATCAGCAATGGAGAAGTTAGACCAAAATACTTTCTATATTCACTTAATTTTGGTGCTTCAGAGTGTGGACTCTGGATTCCAAGGCCTGAGTTTCTGTTAGATTCCATGACATACTAGCTGGGCAGTCTTGGGTAAATTTTTCTATTAATTTCCCCTTTAGTAAAATTGGACAATAATAGTATCTGCTTCATAAGGTTGTATGAGGGTTAAGTGAAAGAATCTAAGGAAATAGCTCAGCTTAAGACTTGGCAAGGAGTGAGCACTAGATAATGTAAGCTGTTATTATTTTTATCCCTAGTTTACAGATGCTGCCCTGGATGTTTCAGTGCATTTTGCCCAGATAATTACCCAAAGTACAAACCAGTGCCAGCAGAACAAGGGAACATTCACTGCCTGTCAGGGAGGTGGAAGTCAGCATTCTGGGCATTTAAAAAATGATCTCTGAAAAGAATCTGGGAAGAATCCCTGAGCACAATGTGTCTGCTGGCCAGGCTCACTGATTGAATATCTTGATGATAACCTGGTTTTGTGTAGATTACATGGAAAAGAATTTGCTCTATTTTCTAAAGGAAATCTAATAATGCAGTTAATTAGTCCCATATATTGATAAATAAACAGCTATCCTGAATTTCCTTGGGCAGAACTTTTCCGCAGCATAACTTGTCCTGAAATCACAGTAAAAGCAAAAGTCCTTGTAAGGCTTTCACAGCCTGTCTCCATCTCCTCTTCTGCTTACCCTCTCTGTTCCTGCTGACCACAGACAGGCCCTTTGCATTTCTTTCTTCTGCCCGGGAGAGAGACAGCTGGCTCCATCCATAGCCTTTGTAGTCTTCCCTGATCCTGTTTAAAATTTCTTACTCACCCATCCCTCTGAACTATTTTTCCTTGTTCTGAATTCCTCCTAGGCACCATCATCTCCGAACATAGTGTATCATTTATTTGGTTCATTGTTTGTCTCACCCCCTCACCAACCCCCATGTAAGCTACCTAAGGGCAGGGATTTGTGTGTTGTGTCTGTTGTTGCATCCCTGATGCCCAGAACAGGGACTGGCAGCTGGCTGCATTCAGAGTTTGTGGACTGACTGCCAACGAATCCACACACCAACAGGCTGGGCCTTGCCTCCAGTGAAGCGCTTTCCAGTGGAGTACTCGCAGAGGGCTGAATTCAGGAGAGGCATTTCAAGGAATTCTTTCAACATGAGATAATGTTATCATTGGCTTTGTTTCCTGAGCTAGCATCTCAACCACAGCATCATTGAATTGCCTACATAATGTAATGCCAGAAGGGAGTGTAAAGTAACCATCTTGGTATTCCTGTGCACCGACAACCAAAGACTGTTGACCTTGTGCTTTATAAAGTAAAAGTATTAGGTTGCTTAAAATTTCTAGTTCTCAACTTATGGTTCGTCACTGCTAATTTACCTATCATTGACAATATTTTGACATAGACCTTCATTTCTCCTGAAGGTGTTTTAGTGATGAGTCCATAGATTATCTTTCCCCCTATTTCTGCATTTTCTTTAATAAGCATATGTTACTTAAACATGAGAAATAACCAATGACTTTTGGGAGAGGGCTTTCTACTAAGTCTGCATGACTCCATTATAAAGCAGAGAAACATTATTTTTTCTCCAAATCCCTTGTTTAAAGTCCTATCAGTTGTCAAAAATCCCTGGAGAGCCAATTGTTTGAAGAACTGACTATCATAGTGAAAGACAAGAAGGAGGGTTTACATAATCTTGGCAAGATTATTAATGCTAGATGAGTGTCTTGTCCAAGGATTTAAAAGTATTTTCAAGACACCATGACTGGAGGGTGAAATTTGACTATATAATCTAGGCCAAACAAGGGCCTCTGGCCAATGGAATTTATGGGCTTCTGAGAAGAACAAGAGGTGCAAAGAATGCTTTATCTGGCATCCAAGGAGATGATATGAAGTCACTTTTACTCAAAAAGAAATGACACAACCCTGGCTCTTCATGAGATACTTAGGATCAAAAGTTAAAATGAGATTAGGTTAAAGAATATACAATATGTAAAAGTGCTTTACATACTGAAAAGGGCTCTGCAAATATTTGGTGTTGATGTTTCTGATTAGCTGAGCCACGAATTTATCTGAAGGAAAAATGAGTTTGTGTTTAAACATTACAACTAGTTGTGTGCCTTAGAACCAGTCATTCCATTTTTTGAAAGTGTTTCTTAGTTTAATGGAGATCTTTTTGGCCTTACATCACATGATTAGTAGAAGCTCAAATGAATGTGGAAATGTTCTGGAAAGCATGATAGGATCTAAGGTGTTACTCTTTTTTTTTTTTCAAATCCTCACCCATGGAGGTGCTCACTGATTTTAGAGACAGGGAGAGAGAGAAACATTGATGTGAGAAAACATCACTCAATTGCCTTTCACACATGCCCTGACCGAGGACTGAACCTACAGCCTAGGCATGTGCACTAACTGGGAATCAAACCCACATCCTTTCAGTTTACAGGGTGATGCTCCAGCCAATTGAGCCATGTTGTCCAGGGGCTGAGGTGTTTTTCTGTAGACTTTGAGTTGGTAAAGGCCTCCTGGAGTCTAAAATACAGTGCATACCTCTTCCCATGAGAAGAATGTTAGGTAAGAAAAGCCCATGCTTTAGATAAATATGCTCCCAAAGTTAATATTAAAATTAATTTTTTAATGTGACTTCCCTTCCATATTATTTCTAAAAAAAAAATTCCTTATGGGATTAGGTGGGGTTTTGTTTGTTTTTTAAATTTAAAAAGGAGGCAACCAGAGTGCATGAAGCACTCGGTTTCCAATTTACTAAATCAGGAAGCTCTACACAGGTTGGAACCCTACATTGTTTTCCTGAAGATGGGACTTTATGTACCTGGGAAGTTTATACTACTTGTGGAAATATAGGGCTTTTCTGTGTCCGGATTATCAAGGATATCTAAGATGTAATTAAAACACTAGACAACAGTAAGAAGGGCTAGAGAAGTAGCAGAGTTAACAAGGACTGAGGTGGCTACAAGGTGTCTACTTTGCTAGGGAAGGGACCGGTGTATGGGGAAGGGATGGTTCCAGCATCTCTGTGGGGAAGTTTCTGGCCCAAAGCAGGTCCCAGCTTCCTGTGGTTTTGGCAGGCCACCTGGCCCTGGCTGTGATTGGGACCAAGACCTGGAGAAAGGAACCCTGTCTTGGCCCAACGTGCGAAGATGCTGATCCTCATTCAACAGACAGCAAACTCTGCATGCAGTTCCCTGTGTTTTTTCCTCACTGTGTAACTGCCAGAGCTAGCACAGTGCCTACCACCCACAGGTGCTTATAAATATAATACTTGATGAATCAATAAATGAAGAGTGATTAAATCATTCACGGTGACAACAGACACGTTTGCAAGCCGCCTAGTGCCCCTGCTGGTAATGAAAAGGGTTTGTTTGAGCAAGAGGGACATCCATAGTTCTACCAGTGATGCCCAGAGCCAGGGAAATGCTGTCTTCTTACTGTTATTGTGATAGTACTGCACGTAAAGCTAGAGTAGCCTAGAGAATCACCTTTTTAATAGCTATTTAAATCTAATAGTTGTGCTACAAAATCTTTTGGTTGATAGGTACCACATTTCACAATAGTACTTGTGATAGTATTATTATAATTCATACTTTTTAAATTTCAAAAATGTTGTCTATCAGTTAAAAATTTCCAAATCTTTAACACTACTGCCTGTGAAACTAGGAGCATTTATTCAATTAGAATGAAATCCTTAGGGAAATCTACTCCATAGCTTTTTTGGGGGAATATTTGATCTGCTCACAAGTGAAGATTTGGGGTGTGTGTGGTTTTGGGGAGGTTTGGAGATTTAAAAATTCCTTATACTTTCCTACTCCTAGGTGGGTATAAAGTGACATGACCTCTTCCTCCTGGCAATGATTGTGCAGATAAAACCTTTCTTTAAAATGGCCCTTGGCAAAGTAGCCCTTGCCAAGGGCTGTGTCAAAGAAACCAGATAGATGTTGACAGTACAACAATCCATATACAAAATCAGTTTAATGGTCATTTATGTAAGTAGATTTATATAAACAGAAAATAGTTCCCATTTTTTCCTTGCCAAGCAATCAAACAAAACACTAGGTTGAACACATTTAGTAGGCTGAGACCTTGAGGACAACGCCGGGCCCTCTCCGAGAAACACACGAGCGCCATCTGGAGGGCCTACTTGAAACTACAGTGCAGCAACTGAAGAACCTAATGGTTTTAAGCAGTAAGGTACAATTTGTGAAAAGGGGGGCAACACAGGCAGGCATGAATGACCTTCATCCTTCATTCTTCTTCTCATGGCCTGAGCTCCTGCTATTTTTCAAGCTTCCAGTGGAGGATTGAGAATGTTGTTATTGAATGAGGTACTTTCGGCTGAGGTGAGAAATGAAACCCTAGTATCTAAAGGGTATCAACATCAGCTTGTGAATTAAGGAGAGGTCAGGAAGTACTAGGCAAGAGGGAAACAGGCATATGTGTCCCCAGTCTGGTGCATCCTGCTCTCCCCTCACCCTACTCTGAGTAGGCCCTGGTATAAATCCACTAGAATTTTTATTCACAAGATGATAGTTTAGTTTTTTCAGAGGCATTTACATTTTAATAGGTTTAAAACATTAAAAAAAATTAGTTAAAAAAAGAAGAGAGATAAGGAGAATTTCCAGTAGATGTCAACTGTTTGCAGGGGTATAGTGGAGAAAGATAAATATCTCCTTTATCAAATACTTAATTATTCCTTTTTTAAAAAACTAGGTCTGTTCCATAACAATACACTAATTTTAATGAAAATGTTTTAAAAAGAGTATTTAATCCCTCAAAAGTCTGAGTAGTTAAAAACATCTGCATTTCCCATATTTATATATTGCTAATGATATGCTAGTATTTTTAATGAGATAGTAGTCTCCTACCCCAATGTTTCTCAAATATCTCTGGTGAAAATATTTTTTAAAAAAATTTTCAATCACTTGAGGGACTAACACTTGTGTAAATAAAACTGAAAATTTTATGACAATATCTAAAAGTTTAGTCTATCTTGTACTTATCTTGTTATAGACCATTTCATTTACAGGGCGCAGGCTGCATTGGTCTACATTTGAAGATCACTGCTCTACTTCCTGTTTTCTCTTAAAAAAGAAATCTGCATTTGGCCTAAAGATCTCTGCCACCAGTTACATTCAAGAGATGGACTTACGTCTTCCTTCCAACTTTTAAAACAACCTGGTCTTTGAATCCGTACTCATGGACATTTCAAACACTTTCTAATCCCCATTTTAAACTGATCCTCTGCTTAGAACGTGTTTGCACAACTCCTCTGTTCCCTTGCTTAGTTCAGCCCGATTCAGTTTGCTCACTGTATTTGTGATAATTTGGCCTAGACACCAGAAGATTGTGTAAGACACTTGGGCAGCACAGAAGTTCATGTATTTGAGGATTAAAGGGGAAACCTAGGAAAATATCTAGGAAAACTATGTAGCGGTCCAGATGTACATTTTCTTGATATAAAGATTATAGGAAAGCTTCCGTTGAATTTTTTCTTTTTCTTTTTTTGTTTTGCCAAAATAAGCAGGTTCAAAGAATCTTTTGATTGATAAGCAATTCTCTCATCCACTGGTTGAAAAGCAATGAATTCTTTCTTTCTTATCCCAATAACCCGAAACTGCAAATTCCACACGCACATATACATGTATACATACATATACATATACATATATATGTGGTAGTGTTCATAAATTTCCATTTATAAGGCACAAAAACCACAAATATCTCAGAGAAAGAAAGAAAACAAAGATTTGAAGACAACAAAATAATCTAGTAATAGAAGATGTTCATCAAACTGGAGTGAAAGCAAACCACTTCCCTTTTCAGGAAATAGGAACCTTATACTACTGATAGGAATTGCAGCCTCTGAGAAGGCCTCCATGGCTCAGCTCCTCTGTCAACGCAGCCCCTTTCACTGGATTAGTGTGAAGTCAGTCCTCAGAGGGGCTGCGTGGCCAGAACACATCAGTGCCAAGAACCACCTATCCCATAGCAGCTGCCGACAGTGATGCCCTAAACAGAAAATTCTAGCTACAGGGTGTGCTGTTCACCATTCTTACCCAAAGGAGCCATTAGGGACCAACCCAGAGTGAGCACACACACTCACCTCTCCTGGGGCTTGATTATTTGAAGGGTTCAGCTCTAAGTTGAGGCATAAATGCCTGTCTGAGGACCCTGAACTAGCGTAGTTATGTGGGTCCTTTGTGGGGTGGCATATATTTAAAAGGCTGGACCTTGGCCTCCTCTTGAAATAATTAGATCACTAGAGGGACCCTTAGAACCAATTCACTCTACCAGGGGCTTTTTGAACATGCTCGTCAAAATTTGGAGATTTCCTGGAGCTAACCCCAGATCTTCTGGCCTCTAAGGCAGCCCTAAGAGATCTCAAGTAATCTTCCAGTCCACAGGTATAAAACAGAAGGTCCCCTGATACCCAGGAGCATCCATGCTTGTTGGCTGGGCTCCTGGTGGCTCTTGGCACTGTACTTTCTAGTACCATTTCTAGTATTATATGAGAATAAGCTTCCTGGATTTTCACACGGATCTAAGCAACTACTGAAAATATGACTACTCCACAGTCCTGTATATTACCAAGGTATGGATGGGAGTGAACAGCACTGCAGAGAAAATAGCCAGGGGATGGCCTCCTGAGAAGAGGATCAGGGTTAGAGTAGATGACAGAGGTGGGACCATAAGTTGTATGAAATGAATAATTCATTGTCTAAGGGTTTCACTGAATCTTGAAGATTCTGAATTCTCCACCCTGGACAAGCTGAAATCCAAAGGAGATTGGGTCCTTGGGTCAATTTACCAATCACCAAAGACCAGCATAGGAGGATGGCCATTCCAACATGGTGTGGACTAGCCACCTACTTGTTTTCCAGGCCAAGTTTACCACCCCTTCAGCTCCAGGACGTGCCCCTGGAGGCCACACTCAGAATTCTGCTGAATTTTCAGGTATGAAGATGATCCCTAATTCAGTGTCCCATGAATCTTAGCCAAGGTCCCTTCTTTTCCTGTGCCTTGAAAGGCTATGTCTAGACGAAAAAGGAACATTCTTTTTATTAACAACTATAACATAACTCTCAAGTCTTTTGGCTTCCCAAGGCCATAGCCTTGGAAATATGTCTTACTGCAAAAGCCAACTCTTAAAAATAAAGTCAGCCTCTAATTTTGCATCGCATTTTCCCCGAATCAGAATGGGGTGCCTCCAACCTCGCCCCACCTGCCAGCCTCAGGACTCTTTCTTCATCAGTCTGGCCTTGACTTTGTGCCTCAGGAGAGCTGCAGTGGTGGCGCTGCAGGCGGTCAAGAAGAAGAAAGACAGACAGGCCATGTAGACAGACAGGGAACTGTGGCGCTGCAGGAAAATCTCTTGCCGCCCCTGGTAGTCCAGGAGGATGGCCTCTAGCTGGGAGAGTGTGCAAATAGACAGAAACACGTGGAAGAGCTGATGCCCATGGCCTACAATATCGCAGGAGCCTGGGAAGTACTTCTCAGGAACTGGGCAAGAGAAGAAGTAGGCGCTGACCAGGAAGAAGAGGATCTGGAGGGTGTGGTACCAGGCAGCCTGTTCCTGGCAGCCAGCCAGGTGGCACAGGGCCACTCGGTGCGCCACGGGGCTGATGTCTAGAATGAAGGCCAGCCCCGAGGGCACCACTTGACATATCTTCTTCATGACTGGGTAAGGCCTCTGGTAACGATACTTGGCATAACAACAGCCAGCGCAAGACAACCAGCCACAGAAGGCAGCCGCTGGCAAGAAGAAAAGCCAGAAGCGCTCGTACCAGGCCTGGTCAGAGGTGTAGAAGAAGTGAACCAAGGCACTGCCATACTGATAAACGCTTACGCCAATGTAGTCCACAAAGTAGAAAGTGTAGTGGGAGAGCTCCGACTTGGACTGCAGCAGGTGGGCCAGAACGCTGAACATGAGGTAAGTGATGGAGGACAGGACATAGAGGAGCAGGGGCAGGGTGCTGGCCGAGGTCCATGGCAAGGCCTCGGCCTCAGCAAAGGCCCAGAATCGCAAGAGGACGGCCAGAGCGGCCAACAAATGGGTCCAGACGTTGACCACCTCATTGTGTTTCTGAAAGAGGCTGAAGAAGTAGTAGCGCCACTTGTGTCCCGTGGGGCGGTAGCCGGTGCGGATGTAAGGCTCCCGGAAAAGCTGAGGCACATCTGTCTCTGGGACGGTGCAAGGCATCTTGGGAAGCCCATTCTCCAGAATCTTGGGCAGGCGACGCAGCTGCTGCCCACTGACAGACAGGGTGCTCAGGTGCTCCAGGATGGCCGTCGTCATGGTTGCCCAGCACAGCCGGACAAGGGGTGCGACCTAAAGAAAAGAAAGAAAAATCAGCAAAAATGTAATGAGAGAGGGACTGAGCTAAGAGAGCAAAGGAACTATGGGTTTTCTTAATGAAACATAGCTTTCTAGTGCAATAGGGGAGGCAGGGAGCTGCAGGCAGCTTCTTTGAGCCCTTTTTCCCATCGGCAGAATGACAGAGTTGGACAAAGTTCCCTTACAACCACAAGCACCCTGATTTCATCCCTACTCCCCACCACAGTATAAGGCCAAGTCACACTTATAAAATGGGAGTGTTAGCCACCCTGTTAAAATGATATTTAGAAAATAAGTAAGGGTAACTTTAAAGGCTTTGGAGTTTTCTAGATGCTATTAAAATGTAACTGTCAGACAGGCTTTAATAGTATGAAATATTATAATTACAAATACTGAGATTACTAATGATGGCCTACATTTCCTAAGCACCTAATCTTAAATTATTCACTGATTTCACTAGTAACTTGAAAATCTGAGACAAGCAATAGTAACTTGAACCTCCAAGTAAAGGCAAACAAATGAACATTAATTAGGTTGGCAGAGACACCTGTATATTCGGGGAAATAGTTTAACAGTTAAACAAAATTAACACATGGCCTAAATTTAACACAAACTCTAATTGCAAAGATCGGGTTTTTGTTTTTATTTTGTTGTTCTTGTTTTTAAATTATGCTCTGGAAAGGAGGTGGAGTTTTGGATTTGTCTCTTCTGGGTACCTAAATCTGTGATCAAGGAATTTCAGGCCTTAAAAATGCTGAACTTAATACTTGGAATCTTTGGTTGGCAGGTGAGCCACATAAGCACAGTGATTATTTCATAGAATATTTCATAAAATAGCTGCAAAGTTTCATGTAAATTATTGAGTCAACAAATGGATTTTTAGCATGTCTACAGCTACCTTCTATACTTCATATTTCCCAGACCCTTTTCCTGAGAAAGGTGCAAAACCTGAGTTACTGAAACGGTCCCCTGCCTTCGGAGCCCTTCTGCTGGGAGAGAGGCAGCAAGTGCTTCTCGGGGCAACACTGATTTTAATCTTCCTACTCACACATCTTAATCAACATCGAAAATGTAGATTAGACCGTATGTAATCAGGTCTAAAATGTAGGGCATGAAAATTAATAAAATGTGCAAAAAATTCAGGGAGACTTAGAGTCAAGTCCTGGTTTTTGGCCACTTATTGGGTAACCTTGGGCAGCTTACAGAACTCACTAAGTTTCAGTTTCCTCATCTGTAAGATGGGAATAATAATTTTATGTTGTCATATAGGTGGTTGTGATGGCTAAATGAAAGAATCTAAAATAAAGTGCTTAGCGCTCTGCCCGGTCCAAGATGGGTGTTCAGTAAATATTAAGTTATTGCTGTTATTTTTTATTACTCTGAACTGGGCTCTGTCTTAGGGATGCAAAGACCAATAAGCTATGATATCAGCTTTTCAAGGTCAGAGTCTGCTGAGGCAGACAAGTGGGGAAGTCATGACCAAAACCTGGGATGAGTGCTCCACTGGGGGCGGGCACTGGTTCACAGCATCTCTGCAAACACAAGCAAAACAGACAGCGGGACAGGGAGGGCTGTGCAGTCTTCTCCAAGTGACCCCTGAACTGAGGCTTGAAGGACAATCCAAACCTCCAAGAGAAGATGAGGGGAAAAGAGACCTCTAGGCACAGAGCAAAGTCAAAGGATGTACGCCAAAATAAGGACCCATAAAGCCTGGAGCACCCGAGGAGGGAGGTCGCACTGTGTGATCTGAAGGAGGACACTGGCATCAAAGACCTGTGGGCTCCAGCCCCGAGCCCCACCCTCAATGAGCCATGAACTCCAGCCTGGGCTTTGTCATCGGAGAAGCGGGGCTAATGATAAGGAGAAGCTGCCTCACAAGGCTGATGTAGGCCTATCATGACTATAATGCCTGTGAAGTGTTAAACGAAGTGTTTGGTTCCAGCTCTGCAAAAACATCTGCCATTATTATGACCATCACCGGTGGTAGAGGTGGGGGCACTTCATAGTGGATGGCCTAATGCCCTCTCCGTTCCTTGTACCTACTTGCACGGCACCCTCTGTAACCCTGGACTGAGCCCTTGGTTTAGCCAGGACTGACCAGTGGTTCCCTACCAGGAACGGGCCATCAACTAGTGCTCAATATAAAAATTAGAGAAACTTACTAAGAATTATGGTGTCAGTCAGAAAGACAGAAAAATAAGGGGAGAGAGAAAGAAAACTGTCATTAGAATACCTTAATTCATTTAGAAAGGAACAAAAAAGAAAAAACTAAGTAGTGCTTTTGCTGTCAGCCAGCAGGGGGATCCAAGAGCCTGGGTGATCTGTTTTGGACAAGGACTAACTGCCCTAGGTGGCAGTTGGTGACAGAGCACAGCAGGGGTAATGGGGGAGGACACCAAAGGTGGGAACAGGTGGGGTGCCCTGGTCCCAGGACAAGGGGGACCCACTGTGGGGCTGGGCTTGGGGCATGGGACATTTCAAATTGTCCTGTTGCTGGTGGCTGAAGAGCATGTAGTCTAGTGGGGCTGGGCTTGCAGGAGCTCTGGGGAATTAAACGTCTGTGTTCTTTAGACAAAGCCTTCTACCATCTCTTGTGAAACATATAGGGAAATCAGGTGAAAATATCATTCTGATTTTGTGGTTGAGTGAAATAGAGGTGAGTCCCTGGAGATACGAGCTGTAGACGACACTTCCCAGAATGCCCCACCTGCATCGACCAAGGGTGTTTCCATCATCTCTGGGCCCCCAAAGCAACTGGAGACAATTCTGCATCCAAAATTAAATGATATATGACTGCACAACTTCTGTTCACCTCTGCATCCTCAAAAATAGGGTGCCTAGCACAACAGCGGGCTCTTACAAACTGATGACACAGCTGAATCTCTAAAGAGAAAACCTTGGGTTTGGGTTGTCCATTGGTTGGAACCAAGCCCAGTTCAGACCAGGGAGCCAACTAGCATCTGTGTGTTTTAAGGAAGAAAGGACAGATCATGATGCTGCTTTATTGTCAATTTCCAGAAAACCCAGGAGGCAGAGCTCTGACCCCGAGTTCCTTCAGCCCTTGTATCACCAACCGAGCCTCATGGTTTTATGTTGACAAGCACTTTTCAGAAACTTACTTCCACTTTTATCTTAATTAGGAAGAGGTTTATAGAACTAAGAAGCAGAGAAATATAAAGCCAAAATGATATACACTTTAACTTCAAAGGAAAAGGTGCACAGGAAAAAAAGTTGGCAGAATCTACATTTCCCTTGTAAACGAGACTTCCTTTTTCAAGGATCCTTAAGATCACACCAGTCTCAGGGTCTCCCTAGCTCCATCCTCTGGAGTGTGTAACCCAATATCTACAGGGTGACCTTGAAGTTCCAGGGACGTGCACTCCATGGCCTTCTACTCAGGACATGATCTCTTATCTCCTTCAGCAATGTGGGTGATAAAAAAGGATGTAGATACTCTATCTGTGGGAGAAAACGACCTCAATTTCCCTTTGGAAGTCTAGGGTCAAAAAATTCTGAACCAATGATCAGAAAGAGGGGATTTTTTTTTTTAAATCCTCACATGGGGACATTTTTCCATCGCTGAGAGAGGCAGGGAGAGAAGCATCAATTGGTCGCCTCCCATACCTGCCCCGACCCAAAAATCTAGGTTTGTGTCTTGACCAGGAATTGAACCCATAACCATTTGGTTACAGGACAACACTGTAGCTGAGCCACAGCAGCCAGGGTGAGTGGATTAATTCTTAGTCCTTTGCTCAGCAACTACCTCTTCCACTGCCATAAAATTCTCCCTTTGTTTGAGAGCAGCCACCACAGCCACGATGATGGTAATAAATTATCATTCTTTATCATCATTAACTTCAGAACCTGCTGTCTAGCGGGGTCTGGCCACCCCCCCTGGACAGGCCTTACTTTCACCAAATCAGAGTGAGCAGTGCTTGCAGATGGACTCAAAAGGCCAGCTGCAAAGTTTGAGAGCCTATTTTGGAGAAGGCATGTATTAGCATCACGATGTTGGTGCAGAAACACATCCCTCAGCCTTCCCAGGCAGGCGCTGAGTAAGGCCCCTCCCCCAACCATGGCCTCTGTCTCCACGCACTCCTCCCCAAGCTCAGGTGGCTGTCTGCCAACTAAGATGCTCCCTTAGAATGATCTCCTTGCCAACTCCTCTGCTGAGACAGCTGAACGTAAATCTTCCTGAAGAACCCTCGAGAACCACATAAGCTCAAGTCTTAATAATTCCAATCATTGGGAGAGCATTTCCAGAGCATGGATTATCTGCTCAACAACATGCAAAGGAAGAATAAGACCGCTTACCTCAAAGAGCTTACAAGAAGAGTCAGACTTCATGAGTCAACAGCCAGCACCACCAGCCTGCACATCATCAAATGTGATGAAGTAAAGTGAAACACCTACAGGTCTCTACAGAGCAGAGCACGCTTGGGGCCCACCTGGGCACCCAAGGAGGGAGAAACAGGACTTGTGCTAGGCCTCGGAGGCTGGACACGACTTAGGCAAGTGAAGGGGTGAGTTGTAGGATGTTCCGGGAAAGGGGCAAACTATGAGCCTGGGAAGGGTGTGGCTCCTTCCTGGGCCCAGGAGCAGAAGGGTTGTCAGGGAGCAATGAGGAAGTGAGTGGGACAGAGGCCACAGCATTAGAGAAAGGAGTTTAGGTTTGATGCTGCCGAAAGAAGACGGGAGTTCATTTCTCATCCTTGAAGCTTTGAGCTTGTTCAGCCTTTATCTCACCTGAGCTCTGGGGGATCCATAGAGCTGATCAAGGCTTTTTGTTTTGGCTTGAGCGACACTACCCTCTTTGGTCTCGCCTGTTTTCTCCTCCCATCATCCCTGCCACTGTGGCGTTTTCCCAGGGTTCCACCATCTGCCCCCTTTTCCACATCCACAGTACTCCTCACAAGGTGCTTCTCCCATACCCTTGGCTTCGGCTAGCGCCCGTATCAAGTGATTCCAGATGTATGCCTCCAGCCAGA